ATGTCTCCGATAAACCGAACTAGCGATCACGATTTGCCATCGTCTTCTGCAGCACGATTCGTGCGCGGCGGTAGAATTGAATCAATAATCGATCGTCAAGTTGCTTGAGGCAACCGCCGAACATGCCCAGTCGAACGATTAAGGTTTCATTCCGCCGTGCATCTTCCGCCGCTGTATTACCGCGTATTTCTGGCGCAAGGATGGCGTGCTGCGCGGAGCCCACGCTATCCTTGGAAATTACGTTTAATCACGCGTGACGCAACGGAGAATTGATAATACGCCTTCTGTATTGTGGCGTTTCGACGCACATGTGCCGTCCTAAGCATACCCATGCCACATGCGCAGCAAGCCAGACCTCCGGAGACCGCGGGATTGACCGCGTTTCGCACCGATACTTTCCAAAGCTTTTTTCGTCGTCGCCCCGTCTTTGACGTCGCCCTCTTTCTCCCGCGATCAATCCTCAGTTCGCGTTCAACAGAAAATATCGGCCACGGTCCTCCTCCTCGGCGGAGTATGCGAACTTGGAGGGTAGGCGCACGATGGGTTTTCGTAATCAGAGCAACGAGAATGAATCTAAGCTTCAAAGGGTCAATCTTGAACGTGAGGTCTATAAAAAGCGGGCTCCATAAATACGTGCGTTACACATACTATTTTTTTTTTTAAGCCGCGCTTAAATGGAGCAAATTTTTATTTAATTTACAATTTGCGGAGTCTGCCTTACAAATGTGAAGCACGAGGATAAAAGAGCTAAGATAAGATTGTCAAATCGACGGCAGACTTTCACGTACGTTAAATAACGCTTTAAACGGTTGATCGCGTAGAATTGTCTGAAGAGCGAAAGAATTGCGGAGCTATTAAGAGCTAAATTGTTGTGGGCTTATTTTGCTCTTATTCCGAACCCATCGCGTCTGGCCGGGTGTCTCCCCGCGACGGGCGATGATTGGTTTCGGTCGTTCCACCTTCCGAGCGAGACGCGACGTGACGCGACGCGGCGCGGCGCGACGCGCCCGCGGTATGCGTGTGCGTGCGTAATAACGGGCGGCGTGTACACGCCGATGACGATAGCGCGCGCGCGCGCGCTTCGCCTTCGAGGAGTAAAGACCCGGTTGGGTGAAGTGACTCGACGTCGGTAGAGGTGACCGAGTGCAATCAAGTGTATCGGGAGTCGCTGGAGCAGATAACGTATTTACAGGTCAAAGTGATTGGCGGCGCGTCGGTGTACGTGCGCGACACATCTCTCCCTGTGCCCTGTGTGTAAAATGCGCGCGCGCGCACACACACACGCACACACGGGTGTGACAGACATAGGTCCTTGCACGCGTCCGGGATGTACGACAACGGCGATTGTGCCTCGTAGCACCCGCCGTGATATGTGTACGTGTCAGTTGCGCGAGGGTCATGTATGCCGCGCGCGTTTACGCTGCGGAACGCACGCGTACGTGTAAGACCTACACGCGAGATTTGCGTAACGAGCGTTTACGTTGCGTTTTCCGATGGCAAATCGGTCTAGGTCTACGACGTCCAGCGAGATACTCGCGCAAACATTCTTACGAGAAATCTCGCAGGCTAATGCAGATCGTAAACGCGCAAGGTCGAGTCGATCTCGTTCCATTCCGATAAATTTGTAAGAGGATCGTGGAATTGGTAGGAGTGAATCGGTGAGATAAAGCTCAATCGAAGACATCGGCGAAGTCGAAGAGCGCAATCGCTTCTTTTCTCGAATTCATATTTTTTTAAATATGGTTGTTTCAAGTTGATTCGGAATTTTTAAGAAATATGAATTGTTACAATTTCGTATTCCTCCTTGAAATATGACTTGAATGTGATAATGAGCTTCACAATTATAGGTAGCGGAGAAAAACTTTGAATTTTACTTTAAATGATGCAGAAGTAATAAATGATAAACGATAAATTATTTACATGCGAATATGTAGTATAGTAAAAACGCGAAATGTATTTAAAAAAATGACGCAACTGCAATATTCATTTTCACGAGTTGCGAGTTTTCTGCCGGTTGAAATACGCCACGAGAATGAGAAACTTCGCGGGGAGCCTCGCTTTCTAATTCCCGCGTTTAGTGGCTTTAATTGTCACGGACCGACATCTCCTGGCAGTAATATGCTTAATTAAAGTCAAAGACGAAGGTTGATCAAAGTTCACCCGGCTTTTAACGCGAGATAAATGTACAAAGAACTTGGTGCTCGTATCTTACGGAAAGCGAGTTGACCAATAAGTGAAAGCGCATTCGAAAGGAATGCGTGAAGGTGCGAAAAGGGTTAAAAAGAAAACCGACTTGACATTTCAAAACTCGTCCAATGGTTAGAAATTCAGGATCGAGAATTTGCGAATTGACGTGAACTTGCTCGAATCACAAATGTAAAACATGAAACACGAGCATAGAGCTCGTTTTCGTTTGGATATCGTCTATAAATTCGGCAGAATTACATGTTTCAGTTTCCACGAGTCCCAAACCTTCGATCTCACGTGTCACGAAGACTTCGGGTATCCTTAACAAAGTAAACCGCGCCGCGGCTACCCTTGTCCCTTGAGAGGGATGAATACAGACCGCAAAAAGGCGGGCCAGAGTTTCTCCCTTTTCTTGAGTACGCACGTGTACGACGATGTTTGGGAGGGCTGACCCCTCGAGTTTTTCTCTCTCTATTAGCGAATCTCTTAAATCTCGGACGGAAAATACGGAGATTTACCCGCGTTGTCCCACGCCAAAGCTTAATAACTAGGTCAGGGGAGTTCTGGCGATCTTCCCTCCAGTCTATTGTGGGTGTACGTGTCTGTGCGGCTTTTGTGTGTGACATTTTTTCGGTCGCGGAAATGTACTGGAGCAACGCCAAAAGTTCGATTCGCTCGATACTCCTTTTCGAATGTCAACTTGTTGCCCGTCTACGTGCCCGCTTTTATACAATTCCTCCCGCCCCCTCCCCTCTTCCTCTCCCTTATTAATTTACGGCGCACTTAATTGCACTATATGCGGCGTATTATGACGAAATTGCGGAGTATAAATGCATTATAACGAAGCATATAAACGAGCTATGTGTGCCTGCCTCTGCCATTGCACCATTTTCCGCGAGATATCCGGATCGATGTTGTCCCACGATATCGGTACATTGCCGTGTTATAGGTACTGTTTGGTCTTCGTTAATAAACTTATAGGAGAATAACGCCATCAAGAGCAAGTTGCCTGGAGAACGGAGAAAAGTTAGTGAAAAATTAAACACGGTCAGGGTACACCGCGGAGAGATAGATAGATAGAGAGAGAGAGGAAAACCGTGGAAAAAAAGAAAGCTTGAGAGCTATTCCCGGGAAAGATACGCTCGTAAAAGATAATAAAGTTACTTCCCGCCGTGCGCGGTTCCTTTCCACGAGTTCTCATTTCTGCTCGCAACGTGCGCGTTTTTCTTGAAACATTTGTAATCGTAGTTAATCCCATTCCGTAAAGATCAGAAAACGGAGTTGTGTGTCGTTGCCCAAGGAAGCACTGAGAAACTTCGAAATTCTATTTCTGCAAAAATCTTCCCCTCCCTCCCTTTCCCTTTTCCCGAAGAAGATTATCATGTCTTCGAGGACTAAATTCGAAGTTGGTTTGCCGTCACGATGACGTAATACGACGCGATTCGTTCGCAAATAGATAACGATTTCGTACATTTTGTCAAGTGACATTTCGACGAATTATTTATTCACGATCAACCCCGTCGGAATAATACCTCGTATGAAATTATAGAAGCGCGCCGCCATATTTTTCTTCCGTAAAATATTCACGAAAGAAAGCCGCTCATTCGCTATTGCTAATCAACGAAATTCAATTCTTTTTTCCAAAGTAAATAACGATAAGTAAACAAATGGAATTAAATGCGGGTTTGAAGCGTTCAATGCATCATACATGTATAAACAATAAACAACCGTGAAATGTAAACGTCGAATAAAATTTATATGAATTGTTTAAAAATTTTTTTTAAATGTCGAAATAAAAACGTAAACCGAGATTTTCGGACACGAGATATGCAGTTTTCAGAGATTTTTTCGAAATTCACGCATGAAAGATGTCGATAGAGGTACCGTTGTAAAATTTCAAATGCATTATAGAGTAATGTTGCGCCTCCAAAGGTAACTTCGTCAAACGCCGTAACGTTCCGACGAAAGTCCGAGAGTGGCGGCTTTCATTATACAGGTCCATTCATAAGGTAAAATCAATGACGGATTGGCGCAAAGAATTCCGCGGTCGTCGATTGGCCGCGGCACGTCGCCATGATGCCACCACCGACGAATCGCCGTCCCGTTCGCGGCATCCGCGTTTTCCCTCTTGCTCTGCCATTCGTCGCGTGAAACAACGCGCTTCGGCGAAGCAAAACACGACCGGGAGCAACGCGTGACTTTGTGGAGCAAATGGTACTTGTTTTCTCGTGAAACAATTAACTATACCGCTTCCGTTTCCGGATGCCAGAATTTTGCGCGATATCAGCAACCTTTTAGTTTTAGGAAGTGGTAGCCAGCTTAAAAAAGGAAACTTATTTCACGAGACGCTGCGTAGTATAAAGTTTAAATTTAAAACAGTCACGATGTACTCTAAATAACGATATAAAATGCACTAACAATAGAAAATTAAACCAATATCTCTTTATATTTGAATACATTTAAATACAAAAGATTAAATGTTTATTTTTATATTAACATTTATCTGTATCAATAGCTCTTTTTTTTTATTTACGAAGCGAATTCTTGGCCGAGGCGATATTAGAAATCGTAAAAATTATTATATCTTCGTGGAAAAACACGTGATTGCTTTCCTAACGATCCTGGTAATTTACTATAATCATGCATATACGACCTTTACTTCATTTTATTTCGCGTGAAATCACCATATACTCGCATAAAAAGCATTGAGTCATAAAAAGGCTGAGTCGTCCTGAGGAAGGTGTGTCATTAAAATTAACCCATTGTGTAATGTTCGTGGCCTCTAACTGGACGGTTGTACGTTGTTGTTTCAGGTCCGTCTCACTGAGAGCAAATCGAGGCAAAACGTGGCGGATTCGGTGACCCCTCGACTGTGATCAGGCCCATAGGCAGTAGGTAGGGCAGGGAGATGCGCGAATATAAAATAGTGGTGCTGGGCAGTGGAGGTGTAGGCAAGTCCGCCCTCACTGTCCAGTTCGTGCAGGAGATCTTCGTAGAGAAGTATGACCCGACGATCGAGGATAGCTACCGCAAGCAAGTCGAGGTCGACGGTCAACAATGTATGTTAGAAATTCTAGACACAGCCGGCACGGTAAGTATCCTTTTATAACACACATCTACCGTTTTTTTTTTAATTTCAAATACGCGAATATATCGCCAAGACGTAAAATTGATTTCATCTATTTTTGTCCGAGTATTAAACTTTATCTCGTTTCTCTTTTATATTTTCCATTTTATATCCGCAACGCGGAAGTCACGAAGCAGCACAAAGACACGCTGTTTTTACTTATCTTTGAATGCGTCGCGTAACTTTCTCTTTCACTTTACGATTGCGATAATGTGGATTACACTTTTGAATAACGTTACTATTCTCGTTCGTTCGCAGGAACAATTCACAGCCATGAGGGACCTTTATATGAAAAATGGGCAGGGCTTCGTGTTAGTGTATTCGATAACAGCACAATCAACCTTCAACGACCTGCAAGACCTCAGGGAACAAATCCTGCGGGTAAAGGACACAGATGATGTGCCGATGGTGCTAGTAGGTAACAAGTGCGACCTGGAGGACGAGAGGGTAGTAGGAAAGGATCAGGGTGTCAACCTTGCCCGACAATTCAATTGCGTGTTTATGGAGACCTCTGCCAAAGCTAAAATTAACGTTCGCGATGTGAGTTGACTCTCAATTCCATTTATTCGTGACTTGAACAGCATTTTATAATCGCATTTTACAATCTCATCGCTCGTTATCTTTTAATTAGAGTAATTAACTCGCAATATTTTGTACAATTCTAATGATGTTGAATTCTCCGATGTAGTTGACATGGTTTTAATAAAATTTGTCATCTTTCGCTTTCAGATTTTCTACGACTTGGTGCGGCAAATAAACAAGAAGTCGCCAGAGAAGAAGATGAAGCAGAAGAAGAAATCGCTGTGCCTACTTCTGTAAGGTATATATGGCGGAGCCCATATTCTCCTACATGAAAATCCGAGGATACCAGTGGATTAAAAAAAAAGGACCGGAGCGGTTAATAAAACAAGAAAGATACTAATGACAAAAGAGGAGGAGGGGGCTGACGGAATATTAGGCGACGGTAGAACGGGAGTCTACGGTACTGAAATCCGAATGGTTGTAAAACGATGGTAGAGAGACGGGAGAATAAGGGCATATAAGGGCACAAGGTAACGCAAGCGGAGCGGAAGAACGAAGAGAATACGTGGAAAGGAACGCAGCGATAAGCGGAAGGAAATATTGTATATAACATTGGTTCCGGGATGGCTCGTGTGCACGCGCAAGCAACGGCGCACAAAGTAGGATACGAGACCCCCCCGCAGCATCGGTTATCACTGTAGGAGTTTTGCATGAATAAATGAAGGGGAAAAAATGAATAATTAATAGTATATATTTAGGAGAAAGGAAGAGATAAGGAAAAAAAGAAACGTTTGTGGACGTGCGCGTGCGCAGGCCACCAGCCCCCATGCATCGCGCTCTCGCCGCGCACCTCTCTCTCTTATATAATATAATAATTATACATAGATGGTACTTGAACATGATTATTGCTATTATTATTAATATTAATTAATTATTAATTATTATCGGATCATCAAAATATTCATAAGTTATCAAACTGTTTGTTTCTCAAACAAAGTATGTTTTTCTATATCTCTCCGTATTAAGGCAAATAATAAAAAAAAATCAGTGAATGTTAAAAAAAAGGGCCCAAGTTTCCTACTCTTGTAATGCAACCTGGATTTCATTTTATTTCATTCCGAGCCCCCTTTGTCTCGTTTGTGAACCATGTTCTGTCGTTCGCCTGATTAGCCTGTAGATAATTTTTCCTTGTTTCGTATAATCTACATCAAGTAACATGTAAGATAAAAAGAACGGAATAAAATAACTTTGTGATATACGCAATGTAATTGAGCTGTCAAATGCGAACGTAGGAAAATTTAACATTACTGCCATATCGCAATGGATACGAGTGCGAGAACAACTCTCAATTTAAGTATAACGCTGCGTACAGCAATTGTGAAACAGTTATCGTGAATACGTACGCAGAATCTATTCACACAAATAAATGCGAAGTATCTTCGCGAGATATGTATTCTACAAGGATATAACAAGATTGTTACTGCGTTTGCTTCTAAAAAGTAGAGTGTGGGGGAAGAGATCTTGTTATAAAATTGCAAAATCGACGACGCCGTCTCGTCTTTTTTTCATTATTGGTCTATTAAAAATATACAGCGAGCGCAATAACACGTTTTTTTTTGTTACAATTCAGTATTTAATATTTTCACGCTGTGACCGTAGCTAGAACCAGAAGCGGTGCAACGCCACCGTAGCCATCACGCTGCTGAGGTACACGCTACGAGAGAATGTCCTCCATGTCGTCGCCATGCTCGTGATGTTGCAGCAATTGTTCGTCGCCTCCATTACGACCTGCGGGTAATACTCGTTCCAGAATGCGAGCGCCCTGTAGTCCACTACATCTGACTTCATCTCGATATTCTTGTCGATGATCAGAATGTTCGGATTGTCCTGCGTGTAAGACTCCCACTTGATTGATGATGTCCGCTCGTTCAAGGAGGGATTCCCGGATTTGGCGAACGTCGCTATCATCGTCATCATCGAGTCGGACGTCTTCTTGTCGCTGAAGTTCCATTGTATCGTGATGCCGGCGCCCACCAGATGCGGTAAACCCCAGACGAATGGGAGCTCGAACATGTGCGGCACGCCCGCCCATTCCGGCACGTCCTTCGTTACCTGTTGCGTTTTGGGACGATAGTCGAACCGGTATACGAAAGCCGGCGCTTTTTGCTTCGCCACTTTGTCCGCCAACAACGTCAGGCCGGCTGCGAAACTCTTTTCCGTTTGCAGGTCCAAGTATCTGTCGCGAAACACCGTCATGTTCGTTGTGGGTGGATACGGTCTATAGAAGAATAGCACCGCGTTTATCACCATCTCGGGCTTCGACTCGCAGGTGCTGTTGTCGTCCGGGGTCTGCACCGCCGCCGTGAATTCGTCTGTGATCATCGTCCCGAAGCTCTCCGAAGATAATCCGCCCTCTTGCTTCTGGCCGCTAGTGGTCTCCATGTACGCAAGAGCTTGCTCGTTATTTGTGTAACCGGTGATCAGCGGCACCGCATTGAAGTTACCTAGTAATACATTATTTTATCAAAGTTAAGGGAACATTTAAATCGTTAAACCGAAAGAAATACAAAAGATTGAAAGGATATCCAAAAGAAAAGTAAACTTTTGCAGAATAAATATATATTTAAGAAAAATTTGAGTATGCTTCTTAAAAATTTTCGCATATCTTTAAATCGACACTAACAAGATTTTTCCTTAGATTTTTAGATCACGTTTCTTAAGATGTCTTCGTATGTCAAATCGATAGAAGAAAACTAGTTATATAATATAACTTTCAATTACCACTTTCCAAGATGTCCTTCGGATGTTGCGCGAGAAACGGATCCGAATCGTTGTTCGTCTCGGCGTCGACGATCGGGCCCCAAGTCTCGATGTCGGACGAGAACTTGATGAGGTGTTCGGCTGGTTGCCGACGCAGGCATTCCATCAGCGCGCTAGTCGGTCGTCGGTCGCAGCCGAATCTGTCGGCTATGATGTTCACGACCGGCTTCTCCCTTTCTAGCGTGCCGACGGAACCGACGGCGTCCCCGCTCATGGCGATCGCCTTGTGGAACATCCCTCTGCTGAGCGGACTCAGCATGTGCAGACCCACGCTTATGGCGCCGGAATTGTGGCCGTAGATGACGACATTGCTGGGCGAGCCGTTGAAGTAGTTTATGTTACGCTTTATCCAGTCAAGGGCGGCGATCTGATCGAACATGCCGTAATTGCCGGACGCCTCGGAGTCCGTCGTCGTGAAGAATCCGAGGATGTTTAATCGATACGCCACCGTCACCACCAGCACCTGTCGGCCGCAAAAGTCACCCCCATTTAATTTCGCGAACTGTAGACTTTCCTCGCTTTTCTTTTTTTAGCGCGCGCGCGCGCAATTAAAATCTCACGAGCAATCATTACCGAAAGTTTACTTTTGTTTCGTTCCATGCGAGCGATCAGTTTGCCCTCCTTTCCCCGCGAGAAGTTTCCCGCGTGCGTGATTTGTTTCCGAGAACCGTAAACGATACCGCATTATGTGCATTACGTCAGGATGTATAACGAAAGCTCAATTAATGATGCATCGCGGCCGAATATCAAAGGGTGCGGTTCTATTCTAGAAGTGACGGCACGCGAGATGAGGAAAAAGAAAAACCCGGCCTGACTCGATTCCCTTCGATTTTACGTCTGCTTAGTGAAATGTCCGTGGGGATAATTGATTGAACAACCGTTAAAAATAAACGTTAATCATCCTCTCTCCTCCCGTATATTGTGATTATATCGGTATCGATTAGACCGCCGACCGGGTTACGTTAATTTCAATTTCTCGTATTCAGTTTCCGGCCGTTTCGCAAGTATTGCGACAGTTGCGCGTAATCGCACCTTTTGTTTGCTAACGAATATAGAGGCATCCCAGATCGCTGGAGTTCCGGTGTTGAAGTCGCCACCGTGGAACCAAACCATCACCGGCCATGGCTCGCTCTGACGGTTTCCTACGCACATAAAATATTCGTTAACTAGCGGAGCCATTAACCCATCAAAAGAGGGATGTTAACCTGGTAAGACGGTTTTATTTGATTGTAAGCCGCACGCAAGCTGGACTCGCGACTCGGTAATCGCGAATCCAGAATATCCACAAACAAATACTCAAGTTTGAGATTCTTTTGAGAGTTTACACAAGTATTAACGAAAATACACAAAATCAATATTAGCGATGACGAATCTTAATATCTTTTCTCTTATGATTTCATGATTTTAGATAAACATCTTTTCTTTTATCAAAATAAAGTGCAGAAGGAAATCTTGAATAATATTTTATTGGAACTTGATTGCTCCACAAAGATAGGCTGCTCGAGTAAAGTTTTAGTCTTTCTTTTCATTTTATATAATAGTCCTATCGTTATAGATCGAAGGGACAATTTATGTGAAGCCACCGCGAACAATTCACGTACACATCCGAAATATTCTATTTCCGGCGAGCTTGTTACGATAACGGGAACCGGTACGAGATTCCCTGCCCCCCTGCGGTTTCCTGAACACGGACGTTCCGTTCCGCATTATCGTCCTATTCCGTCTCTTATCGACGACCTTGACAGACTTGCATATGTTTCTTTCTTTCGGCGTTTTCCGCATTCGCATTTATTGTCAACGGCGCGTGGAGAGGGTGGAAGAGGGTTTCAAGTACGTCCCAATGTCGCACCGATGGCGCGACCCGGGCCTTCCGTATAAGTACGGCCACCGTGTCCGGTGTAGCTTCTTACGCGAATCAATGACTCACGGCGAGTCGTGAACGATTCAACGACTTCCTCGGTCGAGGAGACGACCGAAGGAACGAAAAGAGAGGGCAAGAGCGAGAGGGCGAGCTTTCGTGACCGGCTTTCTGGTATCTCCGCATCTCGGGCCGGGGCCCTGGAAGATCGCGTGCCGCCGCGGGCGCGCTAGTTACTCTGTTACTACTCTTACCAGCCCCACGTTATATATTGACCCCGACTACCGTTGTCGTCGTCGTCGTCGTCGTCGTCGTCGTCATCGTCATACGTGGTTTCGTGCTGCGGATTTCGCGACTCCGAGATCACTCTTCCTTCTTTTTTCCTTTCGAACGAGAGAGAGATATTGTTAGCGGTTGCCGATGACGATTTTGTCAACGGCAACCGAAGTATGTCACGAGCTTTCGATTTACATTCAGTTTTACCCATTCTTCCCGTTGAACTTTTCGTTTCATACACATGTATATGCGAGCTTATAAAGTTTCTGAAAGCTGTACCTATGTATTTTATACCTCATTAAATTTATATTAGAGTAGGACTGGAGCGAGTGGAAAAACACATTGCGCAATGCGAAAGTAATTAAAAACGTAAGAAAAAACGTTTGTTGCGTTTACGTTAAGATTCTAAATAAATTTAACTTACGAGGCAAAATACAAGGACAAAAGTATATTATATTTTATAAAAAAATTTTTATATTTAGAACTGTAACGAACACTCTTTCTCAAATATCTTAGTCTTTAATAAACTTTAAATATTTAAAATTCGTTAAGAATGTCTTTTTATATTTACCCTGATGTATTTTAAGATAATTTTGCACTCGAATAAATTAAAAGAGCAGCTTTCTACTCTTATTTAAGACCCACGCAATTATTATTATCTCATTCTATTTATCGGTAATACCTATATTTTCGCCGATCGTATTATTCTCAATTCGATCGGAAAGGTAGTATACCAATAGAAAAAAACCTTGAAACAAATAATCACTAATAGAACAATCGAGCGTGAAGCGCAAACTTCACGGAAGAATTATCTAAGTTAATCACATATCGAACGTCCACTTCATGCTTTTTATGACGACGTGATAAATTTTCTCTGCACGACACTAGACCTCCGTACGGCACATTATTAATTTTTTGCTTTTGGTCCACTTTTATCTGATCGTGGTGGTATATAATGCTCGCCCCCGCGAGTAATCACCGTAATCACCCTCTTTTCTCTCGGACGATAAGAATCAGTCTCCGCGAACTCGAGGGCGAGCATTATCTCGCACTCCTGTTGCGAACTTCGCCGTTGACCGTCGCCGTTTTCTTCGTTGCATTGCGTGCCCTAACGTTGTCAAAGTTTACGTAGGAAAGAAATACCACGTAGACGGTATCAGAAACTGTCATCAGCCGAGCATTCTCTCTGTCGATCATGTTTATCACAAGAAAAAATTCTCGCGCCACGAAATCTGTTGAGAATGAAAGTACTCGTAACATTTGACTATTTCGTTTCTTTTGTATGTCTGAATTCTTTCCGGAGGGGAAAAGCACGAATAAAAACTTAATAAACGGAGAGAAAAAAAATATTTTTAAAAAATTATTATAAACAATATACCTAATAAATGTATTTAAATTAATGTTTAAAAAAAATTGAAAGAAATTTGAAACAATTTGGAAAAAAAAATAAACTCTTCCTTCTTCGATCTAGAGAATTATAGAATTTTGCATATAATTTTAATTTTTACTCTACCTCTATATGAATGTACAATTGAATATACATACCTTCGTTTGGGACGAAGATATTCAAGAAGAGACAATCCTCGCTGAATCCTGGATTCGGCACGTCCGATGGTAGCAATTGCATGTAGAGCTTCTCGTGCAGTTTATGCTGATCCGAGGACTGCTGACAGGATGGCGCGAATTGCGTTGCATTTCTCACGCCGTTCCAAGAGGGAAGAGGATCTGTCACTGGTCGTGTGAAACGAAACTTGCCAACCGGGGGTTGCGCGTAAGGGATACCGAGGTACTGCGTTAGTCTTAATGTATTACTGATGGCTACCTATATTATAAAAAGTTACATAAGATGACAAAAGAAACTTTATCCAAAGATTAAAAATCCTAATTTTAATTAGTTTAATTTATCTTTTATTTCTTTTTAGAATTGAAATCAAAACGCAACACATAATTTGTTAAATATACTACTTGTTACTATTTTTCTTTTTTTCAAATTAAAAAAAGACACTTGGCCTGTTAGAAAGTTAGACTTAAATTATATTTATGTTTAAAATTAACTGTATATTTATGAACAATTTCGACTTAAACTTAATCGAACTTTAATTGATCAAAATTAAATAAAAAATGTCAAGCTTGTGTTTGAATAATAAATAGATAAAAGGTAATTGGGCCAAGGAAAGAGTAAGGTAAATTGTGACGTAAAATCACGGATTAATTGATGTTAATAAATAATTGTTTAATGTCAAATAAATGTCAAATATAAAAAGAATAAGACGTTTTGAACTATACGGAATCTTTTTCAGTTGAAATTAAAAGTTGTCACATGGAGATCAAATTTAAATAAGTTAATAATAAGTAAATAATTTAAATAAGTAAATTAACCGTATATAAAAAACATAATTCTGTCAAAAAAAATTAATTAAAATATGAAAAAGATATAAAGTCTAAAACAATGAACACTATATATACAGACATCGCATCGAATATTACCGCAGCAAATGAATTGTGTACATATTTTCGGCGCACGCTGTAATTGTGTGTGAAATATTTTTCTATTTAAAAGGCTGACGAACTTGACTGCTGTTTGTGACGCAACCTTAGAATAAGAAAAATTCTTAACGGAGAAATATTCTAAGGTTCTAAGGTCACAAACAGTAGTTAAATCCATCAGCCTTTTAAATAGAAAAATGTTTTACACACAATTACAGCGTGCGCCGAAAGTATGCGATTTATTTGCTGCGATAGTATTCGATGCGATATATCTGTATGTAGTGTTCATTGTTTTAGGCTTTATATCTTTTTCATATTTTAATTAATTTTTTGACAGAATTATGTTTTTATATACGGTTAATTTATTAATTTATTTAAATGTTATCTCCATGTGACAACTTTTAATTTCAACTAAAGAAAACTCCGTGTAGTTCGAAACGTCTTGTTCTTTTTATATTTGTTATTTATTTGTTATTTGACATTAAACAATTATTTGTTAACATTAATTATTCCGTGATTTAATGTCACAATTTATCACCTTGCTCCTCCTTGGCTGAGTTACCTTTTATCTATTAATTGATCAAAATTAATATTAATAATAAGTCTCATTGAATTAATGTCGTGGAAAAATGTATTTAATGAAATGACACAGTATTTCCATTTTTATCTTAATTTAAAATCATAATCCAAATTGTCCTAAGTTAACAGACGTAAAATCAACTTGTAGATGTGATCTTCGTCAAAAGAGTTAAATTTCTCTGTCAACTTCAGATAACGCGGAATGGCAAGTCTCAGCAAATTAATGTAAAAGCTTAAGACCGACAAGAACAAACACGATGTCGCACCTCTTTGCCGAGGACGGTTCCCTGACCCGGTATGTTAACGGTCGGGTTCTCGCGACTGACACCCTGTCGCGCAGAGGTCCTCTGAGCGCGGCTAACGTGGGTCCACTGGACGAGAAGCAGGGTAGACGCAAAAAGCAGCCACGTCGCGCGCCTCATCCTGCAGACTGACTAGAGTCCGCCAGGGAACGTACCGCGTCGGTTCCTCGAGCCACCTCCAGGGATTTGCTTCGCGTGACTCCCTACGTTTTCGCCTTACTCCTGCACAGTTCGCCCGCCCACCGCTCGCCCTCGGTGTGCCTTGGGTTCATTTTCTTGGGTTCGCGGTCGACACAATCAGCCGTGAGGGACCTGCGCTCTTTCACCCTTTTCACCCTTCGCGCTTTTACGTTCGACGGAAAATTCGTGATTCCGCCGCCTTCCTACCCCGAGGCGCGTGCGAAAAAGTATCAGATAAGGTCAATAACGGTTGTAACTAGAATATATTTCAGTGATAAGCCTGGTATGTTGTATCAAAACTGTATAATATTTGTATAAAATATTTTATACAAAACATTTATATAAAAGCTTCTAATTAGATTGATCAAAAATTATGCGTCGACGCACATCCAGTAATTATTTGTAACATTTAAATATATTTAAAGAAGGAATATTTACGTAGAGAGGATGGAGCTGTGTCATTCACGCTTCGGTAGCGTTAGAAATAGCATCGATGTCTCCCAGTCTATGGCCGTGAAATCGGCGATATCGTATAATATATTTATCAATAAAGAAGACCACAACGCGCGCGAGCTAGAAGCTGATTGATCGAGATAAGATGCATGATGGATAAGACGCAGAATGATGCAGGATAACAAACCTGCATACATGCACGTATATGTTAAGGTCAGACTCGAATACAATTTTCCACGGATCACAGGCGTTCATTTGCATAAAAGTATTAATCGCGATGCAAATAAGCGTCGGCGCGCGAATTGTAACCCGAAACTGTATCAAGCCACCCGGTGGCATCCTCGCGTTATTACAGGGCGCACGTGAACACCGTATCGTAACGATTGACCTAAAAATTCAGTTAACGGCAGAATTTTGAAATACGGATGACACTTCGTCGATAGGATGTATGAAATACTGCGACGTGTTATACATATAAGTATATCGTTGTTGTAGCACGCAGGAGGAGCGAACGATGGAAATTTTACTGCCGCATTTCACCTCACTGTTTTTCTTGGACTCGCGAACTCTTGCCGCAGCTCATTCTAATTAATTCACATAATTTGTTTATGATCGATAATGTTTGCAGGGTGGAGAAGTACGTATCAGAGACGTCGAATGAAGAGTTTCGTTAAGCGTTGAAGGCCTTGAAGATCGATACAGGGGTCTTTCGCCCCGAAGAAAGAGAAAGAGAGAGAGTCGGAAGGGTGAGAGGGTGGTAGGGTAATCGCTGTCATTAAGATATAATCTTCAAGCACCTTCCAACTAGCGCGACCTTGAACGTTGCGCAATCCGCAATTATCTGTGTCCGGCCGAAAAGTCCTTTCTTCAACCTCGATCGTAATTACGCTCGGCGGGAATGTGTGGCGTGCCGATATCAAATTACTCTTATAAATTAAATAGCGAAACTTGCAACAATTTTTTTTATCATGTCCATGAATTATACAAGCGATATCTTTTCCGGAAAAGAAGCCTTCCGTTTCTGATAACGATTGTCGAGATTTTTTATCGTTGTTCTACTTTTTGTTGTTTTGTTCCTTTGTTTTTTTCATTGCTCTGTTTTTGCTCTATTTATCATTTATCGCTTATTCGACGCACGATCGTTTCAATTTTTGTTGAAAGATTGTCAGTCGGTTAGGTATGCGAATTATCGACGCAAACCCCATTCAGTGCATTTTTTTTTCTCAACAGCAAAGGCACAACTGCACTTTTCTCGCTATACCGCCATTCGAAGTCGAGCACAGTACCGTAATACGCAACGTAAACTAAAGGTGTCACGAAATTTGTGGACGCAAAGTCTTTTACAAAATTCTTCGACACTCTTTCTCTTCTCCTTTCTCTCCAACACATTTACCTGGATACAAAATAAAAAAAATTACTGAAATTATAAAATTCAGAGACATAAATCTAGATCGAAATCTGATTGGAACCTCTTCCGTGAGAATGGAATCAATTTATAGTTTAATATGAGTATTCATAAATATTTAAATTAACTTGCGAGCATTTAGACATGGTTTTATTGAGATCAAGTAATTCTCATAAACATCATAGATGCATTTTGCATAATAGTAATCTTACAATGATCGCGTATAATTAAATGATAAATATTAATACTAAAAATAGTATCAGAATGTAATTGAAAATTTTTATAATTTTTAAAAAATCTTTCATAGGTATTTCAAAAAATTAAAAAAATATAACAAATTAATTTATTTATATATTTCTTTTCTATAAAAATACGCAAACTGAGATAGGTGTAGAATAATAAACACATACGTATTTAAATGTAAAAAAATATTATTCAAACACAATTAAGAATAAATAAGAATTCAAAATAATAATATAATTATATGATAATAATATTATATGATAATAATAAATCAATAAAACAGTATAAATAGTGTAGTTAAAATTGTTTTAATTAAAAAATTATGAATTTCTATATATACGTAAGGTTTGTAAATGAATGACATTTTAAAAGAATGGCATTTCATCTCTTTGCTTGTTCCAATTTCTCCGTTTACTCCGACTTAGTACGAACCTGGTCAAAGGCTTGCTCAAGTGTAGCGAGTACAGCACCCGAAACAACGGGAGCGTACGTGAACTCCAGGTGTTGTTTACTCCAGTTTATTCGTCAATGTGTGCTCCTCATTGAAATTATACAGGCGGGGAAAACGCGGGAAGATGAGTGTACGAGAATTTGACGACTCGAAGGGAACCGTTCGTGACTTATCTGCAGTCCGACATCCCTATTCGACGAAACGGATGTAACTTTTCTTCGTGTACCGCGTGGTACCGCGTCGTGCGTTGACTCATACCTGCTCGTGCTGCACATTCCGTACGTGTAACTCATAACGCAAATGCCGCGGAACGGAGGCCGGGACTGAGCGCGCCCGCGGTCAATTAATATAGAACGCGATAAAAATCACCCACAAAATCACGATGATAATCGCATCCCTCTTGTTCTTCTGTGGCATTTACTTTGCGTGCGCTCAGAAGTATGAGGGTTGTTTTCGGAGCTCCGATCACGAACTACCCATCCCGGCCTTGACGTACTCCAGCACGCCCGTCGACTGCATAAAAAGATGCCGTTCTCAATATTACATGTAAGTGAGCAATGCATCTGAGCTACAGATTGATATTGAATGAGTCAGGATTGTAATCTTTTTTTTAACAGGTTTGCGGCGCTAATGAACGGGCAGCAGTGCTACTGCATCAGCAAATTCGGTCAGGATGGTCCATCCACTAGCTGTACTGCAGTCCCCTGTGCCGGTGATCCTAATAGCTATTGCGGCAGCTACGAAGCTATGAGCATTTACGCTACCGGTCAGCAAGGTACGATTCGTAGCAACGCTAGTCCTCTACTTTATGTAACTTTTATTACTACTTGCAATGTATTGTATACACGTGTGACAAAATGCTAAACTACCCTCAATGTACGGTTAATCCAGTGAAATCTCTAACATATCGGAATATGTTACATGGAAAGAATACGTGTATCTTTTTTTGTATAGGGCCAAGTCCACCGAGAAGAGTATTGGTGACCGAGGAAAAGAAAGATGCTCTCAGAGTAATATGGCAGCCGCCAGACATACCCAACGGAAACGTGACATTTTATACCATCCGCGCCGTCGTCGTGAAGACGCACTCGAGCAACATGTTGCCACCTATCGAGAGCCAGATTCAAGGGGGTGCGTCGAACATGACGACTCTGAGAGGTCTACAGCCTGGCACGAAGTACAACATATCTGTCACCGCCAGCAATACGCAGGGACTCAGCGATCCGGCTTACACTACGGCGTGGACTCTGATCGGTTCTCCCGAAAAACCAACCGTCCCCGAAATATTGGCACGCGGAGACAGCACGATTACCGTCAGGCTTACTGAGGGCCACAGCGAGTACGGCCCGATCAGCGCGTATCAGGTCGTGGTTGTGCAGGCTGGCACCATACCGCCGGTCGACGAAGAGTACTTGAATTACAGCGCCGCGTCGCAGAAGGGCTTAAATTACTACGTTACCGCGCAATTCGATCCGTTGGACTTTCATAGATACAAAAAATTCACCGTGGGCGATGGAAAAATGATCGACGGTTATTACAACGTTCCGTTGAAGGGCCACTACGTCACCGCGCAAGTCGGCCTGGCGGTAATCTCGCGGGTGGCGTCGGATGTACAACGTTCCTATTCCGATTTGACTAATAACTTGCTCGGTCACGAGAGGCCAGCCGCGAATCAGATGGACTCGACCGCTCTCGTGCTCTGCATAGCGATCACGCTGCTGAGCATACTGCTCGCCATTTCGATACTGGTGTACTTTGTGCTGCGACGGCGACACGAGAGATTCCACATGCAGAAACTGCCGGAGCAGCAGGAGCTCACGTTGCAGGGCCCAGTGTACGAGGTGGACAACATGGGCTACATTCCGGAGGACATTCCCGAGAGAGTGAATCACTATCAGGAGCTGAAGAAGAAGGTCTGGAGTATACCGCGAAGCTCCCTGTCCGTCGACAGTCACCACATCGTACGCAGGGGACGTTTCGGCAGCGTGCACACCGGCACCGTTCTGAAGGACGACGGGTCCTGTCCGGTGACGGTTCACACCATAGCCGACGGCGCCCTGAAGGGATCCGACAAGAGGCACATGCTGAGAGAATTGGACGTGTGCATTCGTGCGGGTTCCATGAAGTATCTCGCGAGCCTCGTGGGAACCTGCGAGACCACCGACACGCTGTACGTCGTGCTGGAGCTGCCACCGCAGATCTTGAAGAACCGTTTGTTGGGCGCGCGATCGGGGGACGTGTTCCCGATAGACCGAATACTATCCATCTCGTCCTCGATCGCGGTCGCCCTGCAATATTTGGCGAGCCACAAGATCATCCATAGTCGTCTATGCGCGCGAAGCGTGGGACTGTCGAGCGACTGGACGCCGAAACTCATGGGCCACGGTATCTCCAAGTACGCCTTAGAGGACGTAAAGTACGCAAGGTGGACGGCTATCGAGTGCTTCGACAATCAGAAGAAGCATCAACCGGGCGTGATATGGTCGTTCGGCGTACTGCTCTGGGAGATGTTCAGCATGGGCGGTACGCCGTACTCGAGTTTGACGCTCGACAGCGAGGTGGAGGACGCGGTTATGCAAGGTGTTCGGTTACCGCAATTGTTAGACGTCACAGATCCGATTTACGAAGTCATGTCATCCTGCTGGCGAGACGATCCCGAGGAGCGGCCGACGTTCGATGAACTCACACGATTGGTAAGTAAGGAACGAAAAATCGATTGTTAATCGATAGGTATGTTACTCTAAATTATATTTGCATGTTTTTTTTATATTGTAGGATACCCTGAGTATTTGTCCTATTACTGCAATCACGGAGCCGTACTTACCGGAATTGGAGTTGAATTAATATTCTTGTTTGCGTATCCTTAGGCATACCTGCATTTACTTAACAGCGTATCGAATTCGAAGTTGTAAATATCTCTTTGTGTTCACGAGAATCTCGTAGATATTATCGTTACCAGCGTACGTATACGTTTATGTGGCATATCTGCATTTTTATCTCTGACATCCCAAACTAAAATTTAAATTTTATTATAATAATGTAAGTAACGTAAGGTAAATGTTATGAAAGCATTCATACTAATTCCGTCCATGTTTAGTGAAAAATAATTGAAATTAGTATGTAAGAGCTAATTGTAAGATAAGATTGTATCTATCTACATAGATATAATGCATCGAGCATTGCGGTAGAAAATGATTTTATTTTTTCAACGTTTCTACATTATATATTACATTCGTAATATATACATTACATATTACATTTGTTCGTAATTGTCTCTTTTACATGAGATTTTAATTTACAGCAATACCAAGGCAGAGAAAATACTTTATATTATCTGTTGGTTGCGAAAAATATGAATGTATATTTTTATGAGTATCTTTCGGTTACTAATGTTTTAGTATTTGCATATTTAAATATTTATGTTGACGTACTTATTTCGCTAATATAACGCTGTCACTTCAAAAGTACAAATATATTATTATCAAATTAATACGCGCGTATCTGCAATGTATATGTCTTTAAACGAACAAATAATATAACCAGCCAAATTGCTGCAAAGAATAACAGTTTGAATATAAAACAAAAAATGTAATTTAAAGACATTAAGATGTTACTATTTTTTTAGTACGTATCTCGATTTTTTTATACATGTGATTTATGCCATATAAATTGTACTTTTGTTTTAAGTTGCAATATCGATTTTTCTAATGCGTATTTTTTAATTTGCCAATGTACGTTATAATGTACGTTTCTGTTGTATATGTTCCGTCCTTTTTTTATAGAAGCATATATACTTTGTATTTATGCAGAAGTTTTTTTTATAAAAATATTATATTATATAATATAATAATATCGTTATATTATAATGTCTATACTGTTTATATATTAAGGCAAAAAATACAATTTATATATATATATATTCTTTTCTTTTCACGCTGCTTTTACGCTTCTTATTCCAAATGAAAATAAAACAATTATTGCTTAGCTTGAAGAAAAAAAAAATGTTCTAACACAAACTTAATCTTAAAGCAGGATCATACAATCTGTTTTTAATCAAACAGAAATTTACTACTTTCAGATTCGTAATCTAACAGTTAACTCAGTAAAAAGAAGTTATATTTCTTTACTAGTCATTCGCTCAATTTCTTATGAAGAAAAATTGTATTACGCGTTAGCTTTTTACGTTATCGTCCATTAATCCAGGACGATTATTTTCGGAACGCGGAAGATATTTTTATGTCGTATGAGGCGACAAGACCTTGCTCGAGTGGGAATGCGTCGGTTTAGGACCGATCGTGGGTGTCCTCGAAACGGGACACAGAAGCTGTTTGTACGCCTCCCTGTACAGTTTGTTGGTGCCGGCATAAATAAAAGGGTTTACCACCGCGGATGCCCATGCAAGCACGGATGCAACTATGTGAAGTATCGGAATCTTCATCTTGTCATCGATCACGTTCACTAGCATCAGCGGCATGAAACACATCAGGAAACAGAGGAATATAGTGAGCATCAATCTGGTCACTCTGGAGTCCTCCCGTCGTTGAAAGCCGCCGCCGCCTGGACGACCGCTTATCGCCGCGTGAGCCTCGAGATTTTTCCGGCTTTTCCGCACGCGCCAATATATGCAGAGATAAGAAACACTGATCACCACGCATGGTACGAGAAAGCCCAGAACGAACAGGAACTTCTTCGGGCTCGAACCATTTTTCCGCAGTATGGTGCACGAGAAGGTGGCTGGATCCAGTCCTAGGGTGCCCCAGATGCCTAACAAAGGCGGCAGCAGCATCAGGAAGCTTAGGGTCCATATGCCTATTAACATCAGCGTTATGCCGCGACCAGTGTATAATTGGTTGTAAATGTCCGACTGTGAGATTAGTATATATCTGAAAAAGAAAACGAAATTTTAGCATGCGTAACTACTAGCGTATATTCTAAAAATATATATTCGATGTATTCAAACTATATATCTTTAAGACATAGGTATATTTTTTTTCAGACACACATACACACACAAAATATATATATGTATATCACTATATATTTTTAAAATATATATATATCTCTTTTTTTATGAAAATTCAAAGGAAGAGAATTGTTGTTAAAATTTACCTGTTGATAGTAATAGCCACCATACTGAGCAAAGATACAGCGACGTTCCCATAGAAGAATAAGGGGAATAACGTGCATAGGGTCTCGCCCAGAACCCATGCTTCGTTCAAATATCTACTGGCGGTTAGAGGCAAGTTTACCGCCGAGAAGATCAAGTCGGAGATGCTTAGGCTTATCACAAACTTCGTGGTGGCGTGTCGTCTCAGTCTCGTATATTTTAATAATGCGACTACCGTTACTAAATTACCTGGAATTCAGATATAGGATTCGTCGTTAAAGAATTGAAGTCGCTGTGAAGGTAAAACGATTGAGTGATATAAAATGTTACCTAATACTCCAATAATGCTGAATATTATAGCGCAAACAGCAGCGATGATAGTCACGGAGCGTGCATATGGCTTGAAGTCTCCATCCTCCGGGGAAGGGATTGTGTCGTTTGCCGCAAAATGCTCCATCTTTTAGCGAATACGCAGGAAACAGTTTTTCTTCCTTCGCATCCTTCAAACAGTCAAAAATCGCCGTGCTTCACGTGCTACAAAAAAAAAGAAATACATTTAAAAAATTCACTTTAATTTTAAGATATTTTAATTTCAAACGTCTTGCTGTTAATTTTTATCTTCTAATTTTTTTAACAGCTCTCAATTTATGAAACTTAAAACATATGACAAAAATAACAGAAAAAAGTAGAAAAAAGATGGAGAGTTATAAAATTAATTTTTCATTTTTTGGATAATCATTAATTTATTTAATTAATGGTTTTTTAGATTAATTTGGGAACACGGATTGCTCTTAAAGATTGTTTTTTAATTCACCTATCTCTCGCGAAATAGTCGCGATCGGACCAACGACCCTCGCATCGCACGTAATTAAACGCGCTAACTTTCCTCATATACTCTTCGTTTACACTTCTCGTTACTCCTTCCTTCATTCATTGGTTTCTATCAGTTTCATTAATTCTCTGAATTTTCTCGCTGAGAAAAGAGAGGCATCAGAGAGAAAGAGAGAAAACACTCCTCAAGATATTCCGAGGCGTCTTATCACGTATACCGCATCAATTAATTTCCATATCTCTTCACGTTCGCTCGTTCTCCAGTTAAGAACACATCATTAATCATACCGATAAATTTTTGTGACCTTCTCAGAATACTGATCCCTGCCTGGTGGCCGCGACAACAACGCGAACTTTGATCTCGAACGGAATCGTTTTGTGACACTACATTGTAGCTATTGTTAACTCGCAAAAGGTATTTCTGCAGAAATTACTGTAGTACTTTATGGCGTCCAATTAAGTCGCTATCTCCGAACAATTCGCCCCAATTATCCTCTTCCTTCCTTGTAATTGGCTCTTGATCGTTGCAATTCAACTTCTTCTTTAAACAAACTCGTTTTCCTCGTTTAATTAAACATTCACTTTCAGATGTCTACGTTATGTACGTATCCATTATCATTTTCCTATTTCTCCTCTATTTTATTTCTTCTTTGTACACAGGAAGTGGTTTTTTTCCATTTAGCGTATTATCACTGCCAACTTATCACTAATTTATTTTAAAATTTATTTTAAAAAATTAACATGTTTGTCTCTTTCTTTAATTAATCCTGTATTTATTGATATGTAAATATTGTGGACGGTTAAAGCGATACTTGAACTGCTTCCGTTATTTCGGCTGACGCTCGTCCGCAGACTAACGAACTCCGCTGGCGCGTATACCCTTTACGACTACACCACAAGTCTTCTTATCTAACTCACTCGATTTAACTCCACCCCTTCTCTTCTTCTTCTTCTTCTTCTTCTTCTGCTGTACTTCTTCCTTTTCTTCTTGTATTTTTCTTCCGCTTTATTCCGCGTCTGTAATTTCGCTACGATCTCAGCATTCAAAATCTCGTCGGATTTATTTAATGCATCAATAAATGATTCAAATTTGGAGTAATTAATTTTTCATATTTTTGGACGTGACATTTATCACGACACAATCGTGTTTATAATTACACAGTATTCTTTTAAAAAATGACTGATAATTATCTTAAGTTTGGAGAGAGCGAGCGAGAGAGAGAAAGAGAGAGAGAGAGAGAGAGAGAGAGAGAGAGAGAGAGATCGCCAATAAAATTAAATAAAGGAAAAGTATCACGAAAGAAAATGCCCAATAATATAATTGAATTTTGATAGTTTGGATTGATTTAAATTTAAATAATATAATTTTTTATTGAAATAATAAACCCAAAAAACAATTTTGATTAGCAATTTAAAATTAATTTAAATTTTATTTAAATAATTTATGTTTATATAAATGCAAATCCTTTTGCTGTAGAAATGGAATGAATGTATCTTATATTATCATGTTTCGAAAATTAATACTGATTAAAATTCGTAGGAATTGTGCCGATTGTTCGACAAGAATCAATTCATTTAGCTTATCGGCTATGCCCGCTAAATCATAATAGCATCATCGTGAATTTCTTTTGTTTTGATACATTGGGAATATAAAACATCTATTTAATGCACCGTGCACTTTAAGTGAGGCGTGTTGTTCCAAAAATAGCTATCGGGAAGATACTACGCTCTGACGATGTATGCGATTATCATCCTAACTGGCTTATTCCATTTGTCGCACTCCATTTCATTCTGTTTTCATCCATTTCGTTGTTTGCTTCGCATGATCGAAAGTTTATTTGACTAACTCGGGCCGCACCTCGCTTTATTTTCCTTTGGAAAGAGCCGCATCAAATTGTCGGAAGAGGAAAATCGATAAAGTTTGATTGCAAAATTGCAATATCATTTAATCGCGTATTAATTAAGCATAAAAATAAAAAAAGAACCTTGAACTCTGCCTCGGAGGAAGTGAAGAACTTCGCGGAACCGACTCTCGAGGTATCACTCAGTGATTTTAAACACTCGGTATATTCACGTTCTATAAGATGTAAGAAGCATGTTTGTTTTTCTTATGTCTTATTTTCATATTTTGTTGATTTTTGCTCAAGAGGACAACAATATAATTTAATAATAACAAAATTAAATATACATGTAATAAAAATAAATAATAATTTTACAGACAATATAATGAAAAATAACACATAATATACACATAATAAAAATAAAATAATTTTACATACAGATATAAATAATTTTTAAAAGTAAGAAATACGTATATTTTTTTATTTTAAATTATTCTAACTCACGCCATGTAATTTTTATTTTTCCGGAACAGTGTATGGGCAAATAGATTCCTGAAGAGTAGTTCGCGTATCACGCAAATTACAGAGTACGTCGTATGTCTAATTGAAAGTCACATTTGTTTATGCCCGATACGCATGCTCCGCACATCCATTACATCTCGAAGCACGTGGTGTTGTCGAAATATATCCGCACGTGAATTATCTTGGATAGCACGTGCCTTGCCTGCACCACTCGAACTTTTTATTCTATCACGTGAATCACTCGAACTTTTTATTCTATCACGAAATACAGTCGCGTTATCCACATTCACGAAACTGCCAAACACTTTATCTCATTCCGACAAACAGCTACGACAAAACTGTCCTCGATTCGCTCTCGTCTCTGAATCGTCACGACGCGACGGTAAATATAACGACTGGCACACCGGCCAAACGGCGAATAAGCGAGCTCGCTTCCCCGATTCCGAGCGATCGACGAACGCGAATGTGACTTACATCCGTAGGCAGCAGCTGTCAACGGCCACAAAGGGCAACCGAACAATCGGAAAGGAGTGGCTCTCGACAAATAAAACTCACCCTACTGCCTTCTTTCATCCCCGCTGCGTCAACGGCGCCGCTTCGGCCGGCTGTGTCGGGGTCTTCTGGCTGATTAAAGGTAAGCTTAGATCTCGTGGGGATCCCTTGCTCTTTGTAGAGGGAAACGTCTTGTTACAAGGAAACGTCATACCGTGCACCGAGTACAGCGCAGCGAAGTGATAGGAAAGATATTTTAGATTTTCGTGCACGTCACGTATTCAGTTTATTTTAGATGATTTATAATTCCTGCGTCAGAATTCTATTTATAATTTCGTGTTTTGATGTATGTGTGTATTTTAATATATATTTTATATATGTATGCATTTGGTTCTCAAATATTTTCTGTATTATATGGCACATGTGATTAGAAATCGAATTTTATTCTGAATTCTATTTGTAGATCGTTTATTATTAGTTACTGCAGATTGTTTGAAATGAGCTGTACAGTGCAATGTTTGGGACAAGAAAATTTAAGAATTAATTGCACTTATTTAAATGATTTTGTAGCAAAATATATAATCAGATATAAATATCTTCTTGTTTCTAAAGTAAAGTTCTATCATCTGACGAACGATAACCGCACTGACAATTTAGCGGTTATTAGTCATGTATGTGTCGTAGATTATTTTTCTGGTTAACCACATGTAAAAAGAACAAAAGAAGCGAACGTGTCTCGAGCAACAGATTAATTGGTGTGAATCAATTCAAAGGAACTTCAAAAGAAATATCTTTCATTTCTATTCAATAAATTTTGTACAAGAATAGAGTATGCTAAATATTTCGACGTGTTATACATACGATAAATCGTTTGTGTCATTTGGAATGTATTTTTCATTTTGTATTTATTTTTGTCTCCGTTTTTATTTACGTGGTAAGATTCTCCGAGATACGAAAAACAATTCAAAGGAACTTTTGTATAATAACCGTCAGTTTCTGCCATCGAATGTTTCGCCAAGTATTCTGTGGGAATAAAGCTAATATCGTTCGTAACGCATTGAAAGGTAAATACTCAAAAGGATTTAGCAATCTTTGTACAAATATATATATCGATTGATATATCGTTTATCATCTTTGAGAGATACAAAATCTCGTAGCTTCGCAGAGTTATCATTATAAAAACGTCTTTAAAAACTCGTGGTCGAAAATTACGTGGCGGTTCGAATGAGACTCGCTAAGCCGCGTAAAATCTACTCTCGGACATAATGCATTATTTATTCGCTATGTATGCGCTCGTGCATCATCAGTCACTGTGATAATATCGCGTGCCCTGGCTACAGTTCTCAGTGTCGGGTTAAAGTGTGGGTCAGTTGGACAAAATCGGGCACCGTCTTTGAGGTGTCACGAAACAACAAAGAATAATCCTCGTTAGGTATGCCCGTACTAGAACGACGTAGAGAGAGGTTCGGAAAATTATTACCGTAAGAAAGATAAATTGAATTGGAACACTCCGATTCAATTTAAGAGAAAAATTTATTACCCGTTGCTTCTCATTAGATTTTCCTGTTGGCAAAGTCCCTTTAATTTAAAAAATCAAAGAGTGTCCTCTTCTTTCTTCTTTACAGGGCATGGGATAAGAATAATTTTTAAATCGCGTTAATTATTGTTAATTGAAAAATCCAAATATACATTTGACATAGAGATAACAGTGATTTCTTTGGTGAGATGCAAGACATGTGTTTTTTCTCTTGTCTGTTTGTTAAGGTTTTAAAAACAACGGTCCGAAAATTCCGAACACATCCTCGATGAAAAATCGACGTTTTATGCGATAATAGTTTTCCGAGGCTCTCTTTGCGTCGTTCTAGTTTTCTCACCTCCGCGGAGAACCACTGATTCGCGTACTGAATGAACCCATTGTGCGCGGCTTGTTGGACGCATATGCCATTTGAATTCAACAGTGCGCTATTCACGAAATATTCGTGCGCGCGCGCGCGTATGTTGGTTCTGAAAGGAAAAGGGCATTTTTAAGGAATGTCCCGAAACGACAAATAAAAATATTCTTCTCCGTTTATCTATCACGGGGAAACCTTCCTGTGTAGGTCCCTTTCAGGACCAGAGTCCGCTCGACATTGCGGTGACATTTGATGAAGGGGGACCGCGCACATGGCTTCGACGTAACCGGGCCTCTGTAATAATAAACAACAAAACCTATTTCCGGGCCCTACAAATCAATTACGACGTGTTGAGAAAGATGAGACTCAATGGTGTTACTTCATTTAATCACACTGATTCCAGCCACTTGATAGGCATTGATTGGGCAATTACGTACACTGGCATGTGTATCATATTATTTTATGAAAAAATACGCGGTGTAAGACAGGAAGTATTTTATCAGCGATGATATCGCCTTGTCCGACAATTTCCTCGCGTGATATCGCACTATAAATTGCAACGCAGTTGCAATGCAGTACGCGGGCAGATAAGCGATTGTTTTAAATTGCAGATTTTTGCACGTGCGACAGAAAGATTTTCGTATTCGAATATAATCGGAAGACAGTACGCAATTAAGGATCGATAGGTGTCGCCGGAATGTATCCACCCCTTTCTTCTTTTTAGCAACTTATTTATTTCTCTCTTACATTACAGTATCGTAATATTGCTTATATATAATATGACGTTAAATATTGAATTCTTTTTGGCTTGATCATAGCGTCGTTCGCCCACTTTTAAACGAAACTCTCGACGATATCCGATGTAACGTGTATGAGGATCGATCGCGTGCAATGATGATATAAATAACGGAATCTTGTTCCTTTCTCTTTTACATCGCCAGGATAATTATACGAATTTCGTCGGCCTCTCTATTATATTTCTCGCGTGGAATTCCGCCATTCTTTTATCACGAAAAAATCAAGATTGTAACTGTAAAAAAAAGATGTAAAAGTGTAAAAAGATAAAAAAGATATAGAACCGTTGAATCGTAGATTGGATTTATAAGTATGTAACATTAAATATTTACAGATGCGCAAACTGTAATTATTTACAGGCACCGTAATGATCGACAAGGCCACTTTAAGTCTTTCGTCCGTTTGTAGATAAAATGTGCGTGTCTCGGCGATATATCGAACGTTTCTCGTATTCGATAGCAGAATATCTATTTTAATATCTTAATCTTGTATTACATTTATTTTAATTATTTACATTACTTTTTAATTATTTTTAAGTGTATCGTCTATGGAACACGAGCTTAATACTTCGCTACGGTGTTTCTTTAAGTACTATGTGTAAATAAAATGGCGTATGTATGTGTCAACAGATAGAACGTGTAAAATATTCTTATTATATAAAAGTAGAAAATTGCGCTACGAAAAATAGAAAAATATTAAAAATTGCAAAAATGAATAAGAGAAAATTTAGCGAAGCCAAAAGCTAGAGAAGATAGAATCTTGAAGATCGTGCTCGGAGCGATGTTTTTATAATAACCGACGTACAAAATCATTTTCTTTACAACTACTAATGGCCCCTCCATTTATGGCACTAATAATAATCTCATCGCTTTTCGCAATATTATCCAGAATAAGTTGCGAATGCCAAATGTATATTTGTAAATGCAATATGTAAATACGCATATCCTCATCAAGGTAAAACTCACGGCTATTGCACAAGTATAAAGCACCGACTTTTATTAAGATCTAACATATCTCGCGGTAAAATGTAGTAGTGAGATGTACACTGGAAAGGGATCTTGTCTATAGAGAGATTCTACCGCGCGGACAGATATCTGTTCCAAATGTAATAAGAAAAAGAAGATCCACTGGTTATCGTACTTTGCGGACGAAATTCGATCGGAAGATAAAAGTGACTCCCTAACTGATTGCGATGAATTTTAAGTTGTACACTGTCTGTACAACTGCGACTTCTTCTCGATCTCCGCCAGATGTTTTTCCATCTCCATCGTCAGCGCGTCCACGTCGCTCATCAGATCCGTTAACAGTCGCTCGTTGTCTTTATAAACGCTCTCCATGCCGTCCAGATCCTTAGACTTGGTTGACGTATCCGCCGTCAGCTCGGAGGCACGCTGCAGGAGTCTCTTCGCCCGCTGAATGTCGCCCTTGCTCTTGTTGACCCGCTGATTCAGTGACTCGTCCGCCCTCTTGTACTCCTCCGACAGTTTCTTCGTCTTGCCATCGATTAACTGCGCCTCGTCGGCGACCTTCTTTGTCTCCGTGCCGATTTCCGTCAGGATGAAGCCGTTCTTCGCAGATTGCGTCTGAAGCTGCTTCAAACGGGCGTCCAGTGCCTCCACCGTTTGCGTGGTGCTGTTAGCCTGGATCTGGGCGGCCTTCGTCACGTCGGAAATGTCCGCGAGATCCTCCTGCGATTTGGCAACGTCAGCTTCCGCCTTGTCGATCGCGTCCCGCGCCAGGTGTTGCGCGTTCTGCGCGTCGTTCAACTGCTGGACCACTTTGTTCGCCAAGGTTTGCATCTCGATGGCCAGCTTTTTGGAGCTATTGGCGCGTTCCTCAAGATCGTGCGCCAATCGTAGATCGTCCTTGGTGTCGGATAGAATTTTTTCGGAGTCGGTGAGAGAGCCCACGATGCTCTTGATACGATCGGCCAATCGCGTGATTTCATCCGGCTCCAGTTGGATATTCTTCGCAAGCACTTGGTTTGCGAGATCTCTCACCATAGCTGGTGTAGGTTGGTCCTCATCATTCAGAGTGTTCCAGATTCGATTGGTTATGTCTGAGAGGTCCTTGGTAATTTTGTCGGAGCGATTGCGCGCCTCCCATGCGTAGTTGAAGGCATCTTGAGCGTTCGATCTCGCCGCTGTCGCGTCTTGCTTGGTTTGACTCATCTGAAAATGATTAAATCATCGAATAAATCACAGAAACAATAATTGTAGAAACAATGAATAAGTTTTAGGAACAAAGAAGTTTATAAAAATTCTATGAACATTTATAATATAATTTTTTAGATGTAATAAATTATTCTTAATAATTTATTCTTAGGAATTATAAATAATTTAAGAATAACTAATCTATAATTACATTGCGTAATAGTTGCTCAGCCTCGTCCTTATGGCTCTTGATCTTGGCAGCTTGCTGCTTGGCAACATCTAGAGCTTGATTGGCTTTGCTGACCGCGCCCACGTCGCAAGATAATGCTCCGCAGAAGCCGCAGCCTGCACCACCGCAGACGGTACTACAATCCGTTACATTGTCGCCGCACATCCGCAGATTCAGTTCGGGTATCGCCATACCGAACGTCTTCAGTTTCTCATTCAGCTTCGTCAGTGACTCCTTGTTTCTCTCTTGGGCCTCGTTCACGGAGTCGCGATTCTTCGTCAGGAGGTTCTCGGTATGCTTGCGGAATCGTTCCGCATCGGTCAGGATGTTCGTAGTATCGTTTGCCATTTTCTCGGCCTGTCTGGACTGCTCGGCCATCTGCTGGGTCACGTTCAGAGCGCCCAGAACATTCTCCTCCTGCAACTTGGTGGCATTACCCCGCAAATCATCGGCGGCCTTCTTCAGGCTGTTCGTCCTCTCCCTCAAATTCTTCAACGCGCCGTCGCCGAGACTAACTCGCTGATTGAGATTCTCCAAGTGATTGTTCGCTTCCTCCAACTGCTTGGCCGACTCGGAGATATTCTTCTCCAACTCGTCGGCCAAGTCGTCTAACGCGTCCAGATCTTGACTCTGGATGGTGGTGTTGCTGATGAGGTCTCGCACTTCGTTCAGGGACTCCTCCATATCGTCGAATTCCTGGCTGTACACGCCGGTCGTGCCGACCTTCTGTATCCTCGACGCCTCATCAATGACCGCGTTCGACTTGTTCCTGAGACCGTCCAGTATCAGATCCCAATTGTCGAAGCACTCGCCGCACGGGCTACACTGCGGAGCCTCGCCGTGGTAACCGCGGTCGCACTGGTCGCACTTCTCGCCGCCGATACCTTTGTGGCAAACGCATACCCCAGTCTCCCTGTTGCATTGCTGGCTTGCGGAACCGATCAGGTCACATTCGCACGGATAACACTGTACGTTCGGGTTGCCCCAGAAGTTTGTCTGGCACTCGTTGCACCGCCTGCCTCCGAACTCTGGTCTGCATTCGCAAGTGCCGTCGTAGGGATTGCACCTATACGCGGAAATAAAATATTAATTGACTGTTTTTTACGTAGACTTTTTTTGGATCTACAAAACAATGATCTAATTTTCTAGTTTATAAGTAAATTAATCTTCAGCCTGAGAAAACTAATTTTTTAAAAATTACATTTGGATTAATTTTAGATTATTAAAACATTATTTTTTTTTTTAAATTACATTTGAATTGATTTTCTACTGTGAAAAGAATAAACCAGATCACTATTTGGTATAAAATCATTCAATTAAAAATGCCAAGATACATCGAAGTCTTATATATTCATAAAAAATACTTCTGTAATAAGAAATTATAAAATTTCAATTTTTGCGAGAATCGAACCTGTCTGAAATACTTCCAACTACGTCGCACTCGCAAGGGTCGCAGCCTTCTCCGCTGGCTATCCTCCAATGATTCACCTCGCAGGAGTCGCAAAGCTGTCCTATGACATGCGGCAGACACGGACATTGTCCGGTACGATGGTCGCACGGTCCCGCGAGCTTGTCGGTGCCTAGGACGTTGCATCTACAATCTTGACAATCCTGCCGCAGAGCGTCCCCGTAGAATCCCGCTTTGCACACCTCGCAAGTTGGACCGTCGGTGTTAAACAGACATTGGAGACAATGGCCGGTGTACGGATCGCAGTTACCGGCGCGACGTAAGTCCGTATTGTTGTTGCAGTTGCAAAATTGACAGTTGCCGCCTGGCACCTCCGGATTGCCAAAATAATTCTCGGCGCAATGCTCGCAACGGGGTCCGGAGTATCCCTCGAAACACTCGCACACTACGTCCTTCGTTATTGAGTCTAATGAACAACCGTCGGCGTAGGAGTGACCGGATTCACGTGTGCCTGTTAAAATAAAATATATAATAGTAATAATAAATAAATAATAAATAATATCTTTGATAAATATTTTAATTTTTTATTAACAAATTTTTTTTTAATTAACAGTTAATGTAAAATCTGAAACTGTACTCACCTGGACAAGGACACGCCCTGCAAGGAATATACACTTCAGCCTTATCGCCTTCAGCCTTATTCCTAATCCGGGGTTCGCCATAGAAATCATCGAGGCAACGGTCGCATTTGGGCCCGGTGGAGAAATCTCGACAATTGATGCAGACTCCGGTCTTCGAGTCGCAGTTCTCCGCGTGTCCGTTGCACTCGCAGCGTTCGCAATGGGGGAAGTTCCAGAAGCCAGGCTCACACTGACCGCAGGTCCTGCCGTAGGTATTGGGGCGACACTTGCAACGTCCGGTCTCGACGTCGCAGAAATTGTCGAGTGCACCGACCCCATCGCAGTCGCAGGGGATACATCCCTCTGGACCGAATCCGTAGGTGCCCGGCGCGCAACGGTCGCAACGTCTGCCGACCACGTTCGGTTTACACGGGCACATTCCGCCGTAGTTCTTGCACAGAAGACTGCGCGAGCCCGTTGGGTTACATTCGCAAGCTAGAATTCAATTCGTGTTCTTGTAAGTGTGTAATTAAACAAGAAAGATTAAACATGATATGAAAAATTAAAGTATGTACATCATTAAGAATAATGTACAAACTTACAATGAGCGCCATCAAAAACGTAATAGCCGATGCTATTCTGATACTTTCTGCAGACGTCGGGCACGTTATTCCACACGCTGTTGACATCATTGTATAGTTCATTACAGCGGTAACCTTCGTATTCTTGGCGGCGCAGTTCACCAAGACCCGGCGTCTTGAAGAAGGGTATCGCGTCTATCCTTGGTTTCAGAACAATCTGCAGAAATCATACAAACGCACACATATAAATAAGTACAGATTATACGAACGACTAGACATGATTTTCGACACGATATAATCGAAATAAAATTTTACCGAGTCGACTAGGATGGAAGCCAATGGCGTGTTCCCTGTATGGCTGTTGAACTTGCGGAATTGCAGCAGAAGATTGTAACGTTTTCCCGCCTCCAGACATATAGACGGTTGCGCCACGGCGCTTCTTGAGGGCAGAGGTAATTGAAGCCAGAGGCGATCGTATTCGGGTCTCCAATCGGCACACGGTCCATTAGGATCGGGTGGACTGTCTCTCTCGAGAATAATCTGCACGTCGTCCCAGGTGCCGAGATGTACCGGTTCATACCGTACAACCACGTCGTACCACATCGATCTGCGAATGTCGTCGATGGTGAAATTCAATACCGAACCCTCGATGGCCTTCATGAAACCCGTGCCAGTCCACGTGCTGTTCCTACCGTCGCGATAAAGCTCTCTGATCACCACTTGAGAATTCTGAAAACGAATTTGCGATTTAACTTTAAAACAATCTAAAGAATTTGAAATAATTAATGCTTTACAAAATTCGAGATATGTAATTGAAGAGAGAAATAATTCTCTCTTTCTCTCTTCTCGTTATTACTTTCGTGTTTCGATCGTTTTTATATTTTATATTTTTATTATGTTATACTTTATATTTTATTGTTTGCAGGATTGGAATTAAAATTCAATTTGATGAACTTACTTCGGTGGCTCTAGACAATTCTCCTTCGTAAACGAGAAAGTCTAGCGAACCGGTGTAGTAACTCTGCTCCGGCTGATTGCAAGTTCTCCCGCTGACATGCGGTCTGCATCTGCATTGACCGGTGATGACGTCGCAGGAATTCTCGTAGGCTCCGCCGGGATCGCAGTCGCATGGTTTGCATCCATCGCGATCCTCGGAGAGTCCCCAATACTCCGGCAAGCACTGATTGCAGTCGCGCGCTGTGACATACCGTTTGCACGTGCACTCACCGGTCAGCACGTTGCAACCCTGATTGTTAACGGTACCCAAGGTGTTACAGGTGCAGGCTGCGAAAGTAATTTTTTATATTTTATTTATGAGTTTTGAAAAGCTATGACCAAACTTGCTTTATCGGGGCGAATAGAATCTCAAACTAACTCTCATTGATATAATTAATATTCATTAATATCTTTTAGAGGGAAAGATTATAAATTGAGTTTGAAAAATGATCAATGTAAACTAATAAATATTGTCGTATAAGTCATTAATAGTCAATAATAAATCATTAAAAATACAATAAGTAAATATATATTTATTTAAATATTATGTAAAAGTATTGAAATAGTTCTCATCTTTTGGAACATGCTTGGCTGGTAATAACTTCTTTCTTACCTTGACATCCCTCGGGATTATCGGGATCAAAGTTCCAAAAGCCGTTTTTGCAGCGGTCGCAACGGCGCCCGTCAATGTTCGCTTTGCAATGACAGCGTCCAGACTCGTCGCCACTTAGAAGATCGGTTCTCGAGTCGCATATACCGTCATCCAAGGATCCGCTTAAGTCGCAGTCACAGGCTACGCGGGGAAAAAGATCCATATATTTCTCTCATACATATACATTTAAAAATTTATTCTGCTATTAACTGCAATCTGCAATCTGTATTTATCTTTTATTTATAAAACAAACGCGAGTAGTAATAATTTTGTATTAAATTATATTAAACGTTACATGAAAATTACACATGATGAGACTGAAAACTCACGTTGACAAGCTTCTGGGTCAGACATATCCTTCGTCACGTCGTGATAATAGAATGGCTTGCACTGTTCGCAATTCTGCCCCCGCGTATTGTGCTGGCAATCGTCGCAGACTCCGCCGGACACTCTGCCCGATCTCTCGTAGACCGTTTCGTCGAAGTGGCAGGAATTGGTATGATTGTTGCAATTGCAAGGTCTACAAGCGTTCGTCTGTTTGCCGACCGCGGGCTTCCACGGCAGATCGTTATAGAAGTCCTCGCACTTCTCGCAGTTGAGGCCCTTGGTGTTGTGCGTACACTCGCATCTGCCGTGGACCATATTTTCTTCATCGATGACGCCTGGCAACGGTAAGCATCTGGAGGCGTGCCCGTAACAGGAGCACGAACCGCGAATCACCATATCCTGGATGGCGTAATAGTATTTCTCGCGAATCTCGGGCCGATCGTCGAGCAGATCGTCGCCCAGAGTGTGGAGTCTCGTCATGTTGATCCTGAGATTGGTGATCTTTAACAGATTCTGCACTTCTTTCGAATAGGGATTATCGATTTCCAAATTTCGCGGCAACACCCTAAAATATATTAGTACAATGATAAATAAACGTTTTCGAATAACGTGATTAATAATTGAAAATTATAAAAATTCGAATCGCGTAATCAGCGCCGTTTCTTTACCCGAGAAAAATAAAAGCAAACATTTGTACATTGAAACAATAGAGTTTAAGAGTATGATATAATAAAAAAGTATGTTATATATCCTACCTGAAAATTACGTCACCGCCAGTGGACGGTGCCACAGCCGAGTATCTCTCCTCACAGATGACGTCCGTTAATCTTTCTGGTTGATGGGTCGAAATTCCGGGGAAGGAATGCTCGCAATTGTCAGCGAAGTACCGGTACACCTTCCAGGTCTGTCCAAAATCGTACGATCGTTCAATCAGCATGGCAGCTGGTCGGAAGGTTTGGAAGCGAATGATGATGTGCGTGAAATGAAACTCTGCCTCAGGATCGAAGCGTATCGTGACATACTCCACTCCGTTTTCGGCTTGCCACCACGAAAATTTATTTCTAAAATTTATCATGTTTGAATCATTTAGTATACAGTAGGTTGCGGTTATTTTTTTTTTAATGACGCACATTTCTACTCATTGTAAAAAACAATGGATTTATTTCACAGCAGAGAAGATCACGGTGAGATAAAGTGACGTAATCTTACCCGTTGACGATATTCTCGATATTGTGCTGTTGTTTAGGTATCGACGCATCGCAGAAGAAGCACTTCTTTCTGTCCTTGAGATGAGAAACGATGCAGAATCTTTCGGGGCCCTGGAGGCCGCATGTCGACGAGGCGATCAATTTGTTCTTACGGCCGATCAGCAGATTCCCGGTTGCGGGATAACACGAGCTCTGCTCGCAGGGATGCGGTCTTTTCGCGTACGATCCTGCGTCGGAACAAAGTTTCTCGTTATCTTTTTATAACTCGAAATACGGATTTTGTTAGCCTCACGGTTATTCTCTTCTCCTGTAATTAGGACATCGCATTGCATAATATCATGCTAGTACGAGTTAAGTGGAGACAGTTTCCCGATTACCAATTAGTTTCCGTCGATTAGCACTGTGTACGACATTATTGTAGTAACTTTACAACATTATAGGAGAACTCGAAACATACACGCCGCAAACATATATCTGGTAAATATATTTACACATGGAGATCCAAACCGGTAAGGTAAAGATTAGCTACAACAAACACTCTCTCTCTCTCTCTCTCTCTCTCTCTCTCTCTCTCTCTCTCTCTCTCTCCATTAGCTAGTAATGTATAAAATGTATGAAATACTATCCATGTTAGAATAATGATTCTCCTTCATTAAATGTCAATTTGTCAGGAATATTTTTATGTCAAAATACAGGGTGTTTGCCCGCTTCCCGAAGTAACATATTTTTGTCTACCTCTTGACTTGGGAAATGTCGGCCCTAGCCGATCATAACGCTCTGTCACCGCGTCCATAGGTGACATATCGCCTCTCTGCACCGATCCTATAATCCGTTTTTATCTTTATTCCGTACATAATTATATAGCGCGCGTCCTAGTTGTCGCGAAAGTTTTATCGCATTTTTCACCGCTTAACACTTTCTGATAAGACCATTTGAAAATGCTACATGCTACAACGACCGTTTCGTGATTCTTTCGTGAAGAAAAGAGTGAAAGAAGAAATGAATTCATAATTCTATAAGAAGATTTTGAATCTTACCTCTGGATTGTACCTTGTCCCGTACATTTTGAGAACTCGCAGGTCCTACAAAGAATTAAAATATTTATGTAACGTGTGGTAATGTTAAACGCACGTTCTCGCTCCTCGCGATGGAAATAAATGACACGATATAATAAACGAATAAAAAATAATTTTTCAGACAAAAATGAATTGTGCAAGACGCGTAGCAATCGGCTCTGCTCGCAAATTTCTTTTAATGCGAGTGATGATAGCGCGCGCACGCGCGCGCGCATCGAATATCATCATTAATATTAATATTAATGCGGGACAATTTTCTCAGAATTGTTTCAAACGAGCGCTAGAACATGCCGGTTATCAAGAGATGTTCTACTACCGGTAGAGGCTATCGCGAGAGACAGCCGGATGTTTACCAGAGAAGAACAGCACTGGAAAGTACCTTAAGCTTTAATGCAATACGGGGTGTCCCAAATCTATAGATAGATCTTTTGATCAAAATCTTTCGATCGGCTCGGCGATGTCAGTTTAATTTTTGCTACAGAGAGATCTCAATTTTCTATATTAAACATCTTTGATTTCCCCAAGCTACAAATCTGTTGATCGACTGCAAACCGGCTTCGTATATAAAGATATATTCTAGATTAAAAGAAATGGGACTCGTGCTGTAAATCTAGGACATCTGTGTATCTTTGTTGCAACGATACCGCCACGTGCATAAAGAACATGCGGAACTCGATTCAACGATCATTGCCATTCGTGGAATAATCATCTCAGAATCGTTAAATACGCGCGAAGATCTCCGTTCGTAGGGCGGTGTTGGATTTTAGAGGCCGAAACAAGTTTGTCGGTTTCAAAAGGAAGGCAGGTCGCGAGGTCATCTCGCTATCTAATCATAATGGATAAAGAGTCTCTTCGTTATATGAATGGGACGAACGATGCTTTTGAGAAAAAGAATTTTTTTGCTACAAATTTGGTTCTTTTGCACGTGTAATACGTAATGCGCAACGCGAAAATGCGACCAGCGAAAAATTTGAATTTATAAAACTATTAATTCTGAGAATATTAATTTTGAAATTGGATATCTCAAATATATTTTCATTTTACAGTTTGTTAAATTATTTTTTTTTAATCAGCGCTAGTATAAATTAATATATATATTAATTATTACGTACCTGCTAAAGTAATAAGTACAATAATTAAAGCTGCAAGAGCCACGTGCCCATAATGGACATGCATTTTTCCGTTTCTTTTTTCTACCTCTGTGGATTTTTTTGCAACGGTGCTAAGCCATCGACGATGGTTGGAGATTTTCTACAAAAATAAAATATTCCCAAAATATTGTAAACCGTCCAATATATCGCGGAAAATTTACAATTGACTACTCAATTAATTTATTTTACTCAAACAAGCTAAGAAATGATTGTGCTTAAATTATAATACGGGCAATAAAATATCGATTATTTTTTTAAAATCAAATTTTTATGCAAATTCATAAATATTATAAAATCATCAATTTTTAAACAGCACTTAATGAAACAGGTAAATCAGAGCAGACATTTTTAACGATTCCTATTGTAGATTTAAATTATTTGACATTCATATAAAATTATTAACTTTTTTATTATTATTTAATTATTTTTAGTAACGTTCATATAAAATTATTTAATCCACAACAAAAGTATAAAAGGAATATACGTATGTAAGATGTTTTAATTGTAGCAGATAATTATTTTAAAATAACTTTTTACATCGAATCCTAAATCATAAAAAATCAAAGTATTAAATTTCGAGATAGTAAGAGTATGTTTCAATTAGTTAGTTTCAACGCTCACCGAACGACGTGAAACACACTTTCGCGCACTGTGGGATGAAAAAGCGATTTTCGTTGCAATTAACGTTGTCAATATATTGTCCTACGTCTAACAAGGCTCACTTACGTTAACGTACACGCTAAGATAGCGTTCCCCGTGGTGTGCAAACCGACGAGATATTTCTTCTTTCCCTCGAGAGACGGCGGTCGCCGCTCTCCTCCGGAGTCGGTACGGAACGACGAGATTTCGCCTGAGCACCGAGATCGGAATTCCCCTCTACCGAATCCCCTCTTCCCCTCGTGGCCGCTGAATCCCGAGTCTGTTATCCACGTGCGATAACGACGCGGCGGATCCGTTTGACAGGTGCGGGAGCACCCTCGCAAAACGCGGCGTGCGACGGAAAATGAAAAACGCGGCCTCGCGGACGCGCCTCGTGACGCCGTCTCTCACAAGAGTGAGTCCCTCGGCTCGGCTTGTCGAGTCGCGACACTCCGCTCCCGAGGCTCCGAGTCTCGTGCCCGAGTCAGTGCCGTACATAGAATCATTACGGGTGGCAACGGAACGGAGAGGGAAAACGACGAACTTGGGCTTGTAAAGCGACGAGCGGGACCGAACGGCGGGCGGTAAGGGCCGCAGGCAAGACCCGAGAGAACGATCTTCGGGAAGCGTCAATGGGAAAAGGTTCAGACGCAGGTCACTGAAATTCTAATGTAGACATAGGTTTTTATCATTTCTACGTTGGCTACATAAAAAAATGTTTTTTTAATTGTCAATATTTTCGATCACTAGATTTCAACATGCGTAGATATGACTTTATTTTCCACACCGGATACGTGAGACACGACCAACCAGCGTGTTTGAGGAAGTCTCGGATGATTGTTGAATGTCGATGCACCGAATACTCTTTTATAATTAAATATAATTAAATATAATATAGTCTTATTTTTTTATACATATAAATGGATAATTTTATATATATAAATGGATAATAATAGAAATATATTAATATAAGTTATTTTGATGGTCTGAGATATTGGCGAAGAAGAAAAATATTCGTTCTAATCGTACAGTGTAAATCCCATAAATCTTCTATCGCGGGTCAATATTCTGTCCTCTGATATCGTTTTTGGTACGCGTTACATGCAATGTTGTTGAAAGACCTTATCGTTGTACAGATTCTAAATCGTCAGCGCTCCAATTTGTCTGGACCCCTTGCGCGTTCGGATGTATGATACTTTCGCACACCCGTTACACAATGCTTATGTTACTGCGGCACACATGTGCGGTATACTCGCTGTTCCTGTCGTCTTTTAAAATCTGTTGTTCAAGGGATATATGAATCTCGCCGCAGATGTAATCGACATCTGACGCAGCAATGCTTTCAATTAAATTAATCTATCGATGTTACAAAAATTTATTCAGTTTCATCCCTCAATCGGATATAAAAAAAATCAATTACTGTAATTTGCATGCTCCAATAAAGAAACATTATATTCCAAATAATTTTTAAACTTTGTAAAGTAAATGTCTATCCTTTCTACGTTAGAAATAAAAAGATAAATATTTATACATTTATATTAAAAATGCATTTAATAGTAAATTACACTTAATATTTGAAAGAGCGCTTAAGTATATTCGGGAGAGATTAAGAATTTTAATATCCAAATGTATCTGTCGTTACTACGGGGGAGCAGATAGTAAATTAATTATTTCATCCAAGATATAATTAAACTTCAGCAATATACTTCGGCCTGCTCCACGCAGTGCTCCCGATTCGTCTCCTCATCTTCGATGACGCGTATCTTGGCGCGTGACAGAAGAGGACAGAATGTGAACCGTCCTGGAAAGGCGAGACGAGGAAGAGAAGGCAATGGCATCCTGCTATCGTAGCCGGGCTACGTTGTACAGATAAGGCGGCCCACGCTACGCTTCCTTCCTCCGCGATGATCCCACTTTCCGTTTCCCCCCCGCGCGAATGTACTGATTCGTTGTATCGGACTGTGTCCGCGACAACGGACAATTTCGCTTTTCGTCCGGTACAATTAATCATATCGCAATTAATAGCGCGACAATTAATGGTACAGAATCGCGGCAAAAAAAAAACGTACGAGTCTTAATTAAAAAATCCGCTTACATGAATCGTTCAATTTTTAATGAACATAAAATTTTATTCTGTGGCTTACTTTGCTGAAAATTTCATCCATACAGACAACTGTACTAATTCATGATAGGATTGATTTTTTTAATTATGTAAATTACTATAAGCGTAATTCTTTTTATATTAGTAAAGACTTACTAATATACTAAATTTAAGTAATCATTTTAAAATATTTTGTTAAATATCATGTAATGAATTTATGATTCTCAATGTAAACTATAAATAATTCTTACGCAATAGGTGGATATTATTGTAGAGCTTTATCGCTCCATATCATTCACATAAATTTGTCGTAATGATCTTTATTGCAATGATGTATCAATATATTGAAACAAAGCAGTGAAACGAGGACGGAATTGATATTTTATGACACTCGACATCACTAGGGCACTAACCTTCATCCGTTTGTTGGGTGCGTGGGTGCTACGATCCTGTGGTCGTATTAGTGGGAGTTGAAAGTAGGTGGAGAATAAAAGTGCAAACCAGCAGATTCCCTTCTTACTGACGATGACTATATTCCATAGTCTTGTTTAGTACCAAGAGAGGGCACATACAGCTATAATGATTCTTGCAATCAATCATTGTCGTGGTGATGGTACAGACAATAGTATTTAATTATACACAAAAATTAAAAATAATTTAATTTTGAAAAATTTAGTTTTAATATTTTATTTCTTGATTTCATTTTTTAATTTTTGATCCTTTATTTTTTAGAATTTGTTTTAATATAAAATATAATACGTAATTTTCATAAATACTAGTAATAAGTATATTTTATATACTATATAATATATTTTAATTTTATATATTGATATTTTTTAGTAAAATGTAGCTCTATTTTAGTATGATAAAATGTTCTCATTTTTCGTTAAAAACGCTAACAGATTAAAAAAAGTAAGAGGATATTTATATTTTTGTAATTTTAAAGGCGACTTCGATTAAATTTCGAGTTAATTTAATCGGCAATTAATTTAATTCATGGAACTGTTTAACGTAAAATTTGAAATTGTTCCTAAGTTAACCTTTTATTTTATATGTTAAATAAAAAATTTATTTTATTTATATTAACAAAATTATACAGAGACTGTTTGATCTATTAATTGTCGATTAAATTAATTGAAGTTTGTTCGAAGTCTGATTGACATTGATCATCAGCGAGAGAACATAATAGCTCTTTATTAGACATATTTTTAATGGTACAATCGTACGATACAGACTTATGTCAAGAAACATTTATTGTTAATTATAATAAGATTTGATAATAGAAAGATTAGTTGATTGCGCTTCAATAATATTTATAAATCATAGATTTCGAGATATTGTTTCGTACAAGAAACAATGTAAGATTGTAATGAATGATCGATAATTCTATGAATTTTCTATATTTGGCTTTGGAACTGTGAGTTTGATATAATGAACAAAGTAATATGTGAAGCTAAATAAACATATTATTATTTTCTAAATTCATTAGAATTAATAATTATGCAATCTTATAGTTCAATTGATCATTCTGTTCTATTTAGGCGAAATCTCTTATTTATTCTCGGGGAAGTTTTACGAATATTATAAGTTTTACGAATAAACAAGGATATCTTTTCCATGAAGTAAAATTCACGACGATTAATTAGTTATTTAACTGGCGATTGAAGAGAAGAAAGTAAATTCGCTTTTAAACGCGTAGCAGTAAAAATTATGCATGGCTCATCATGAATCGTAATTATTCCTGCAGTATCTGTTACATGTCGGACAATCGTTGTCGAGCAGACGAAAAAAGTGAGCAGTCAGAGAGAACAGTTTGCGAGTGTGCCGTGATAACGGGCAAGTAAAACTCTTTATCTATTTTAAGAAACGATAAGAGAAAGATCGAAGTTTCAGAAGAGCAACGTTCTAAAATGATTAAGCGTTTCTGCGTTTTTGTCATACACCGTTATCCATCGCTAAATTTTATTGTTACTCGCGTCGATTGTATCTTCGATCTCCAGCTCTGCCATTAGAATTTTACTAGTCGCGAAACTCCCGCCGTTTTCGTCTATAATATAAATTTATTGCAGAGGCAAATTTTTTTTCCGAAAAATCCTACTGCTCTTCATCTCTTCCAACGTGTTTCGATTTTTCGGGTAATTTCTCGCAGAGAGCTCGTCCCCTTGTTCGTGTTTCTCTTGAAGTGCGATGTTTCCGCGGTCAGTGTTCCCGACACGTTACTGTCTAAATATATTCGGCGAACATTATCCAATAGGTGATGTTCAGCACGGCGAACAGAAAAGGGAAGAAGAAGCGCGAGAATCGGTCGATGTTCAACGCTCGCATTCGCGCCCTTTGAGCTGGGGTGGGTCCGGGTGGCGGTAGAGTCGGCGATTTCTGCGATCGGCAGGATAACAACATTGCGTTTTCCTGCGTGACAACGATCACAACTTGAACCGTCATCATGCAGATTGTCTCCCGTGCCTCGGAGAGAATGGCACATGAATTAGAGTGAATGAACAATGATAGTGGTGCAAAATGCATTAATCGACGTTAAAATAGTCACGATTGACAAGAAAATATTTAAAAATTTTTTTGAAGCAACCGATATAAATATTCTTTTAGCAATTTATATTTCATTAATATTTTTTGAAGATGCAAAAATTATTTTAATAGATTTTCTGTAACAATAAAATGCGCTTTTGTTCCCTTATTCGAGGCACGGAAGTGGTCCGAGACAGGAGAGCCTGGAATCAATTTTAACAATCGTGATAAAACTCTTTTTATCGTAAAATTACAAAATAATTTCGGACATTTTAGGAAGACTTTAACATTGCAAAGTGCTTCCGTCGGTTTTCATCAGCTATTTCTATCTTAGCCAATTGATTTATGTCGACAATAATAAAATATGAAGAATTATTACAAGTATTATGATTATTTCTTGTTAAAAGCGATTCACAAGGCTCCCTGATCATCCAATCGTCATCTATGCATTACCTTGGCAGCAATGTCGAAGATCTTGTCAAACTTGGCCGAATCTGCGGTGCTCGTGCACGGCGGCGGTGGCGGAGGCGCCGGTTTCGCTGTGGGCGCATCCGAGTCACCGAGGACGATGTTCACCAGACAATACTCCATCAACGCCATAAACACGAACACTGTGCAGACCGACATGAAGGCGTCGACGGCCTTCAGATACGAAACGGGCGGTAAAGAGGCCTGACTCTTGGCGTGCTGCGTGGAGAGGGTGAGTAACGAGGTGACTCCCAGGGTGACTCGGGCGGGTGCGGCCTCGGGTTTTATCCAAAACGATACCCACTGCGTTGATATTTTTGATTTTAAAAAAATACAGTTACGGAGAAAATGTCGCGAGAGAATATCTTTCCTGCACTCTTGCGATACTTTACTCACCGACATGATGACGATCAAGCACGTTGGCACGTAGGTGTGAAACAAGTAATAGCCGAGACGTCGCTTCAGCACGAATACGACTTCGAGGCAAGTAAAGTTACCTGGAGATAGCATAATCTTCAATGAAATATCCATGCTCGGCATTTAGCCCGGATTAAACTCAAGTGATATCAACGCATGGGCGGTCGGTCGAAGAATTGACCTCACGCTTTGAAATAACGCCGCGCGAGATACGTGTGCAGTTTCGAAACAGAAGAAAGAGTTTATTTAAAAAATTTATTGTCTATATTGTGTGGTTTAATAAAATGTTTAATAAATAAATTGGTTTAATAAATTGTGAAATGTCCGATTGGGTTTACACGTGACGTGCAGCGTTATTCTTTAAGATGCAGTCATTCTATGTGCTTCACTTACCAGTGGAATAAACCTGCGTGCAGTCGGCTGTATAATTTTTAACAAGTTGTAGTTGAGGCAGCTCGATATTTTCATCTACAACGAGAGGGACATCGGGGTCCCACTGGAAAATCATTTCGTCCGTCGTATGCGATACTGTCGATCAAATTGTTTCATTTTCGCATATGACACGAAATATGTATTTTGTGACGCTGTATATAATTTATTAATTACTCATCTAATATAGCTTACTCGCGTTAATTATAACATGTAACTATAATTACTATCTTTCCAATTTTTCATTAAATTCAAAATTATAAGTAAAATTATTAGATTTTAATAAAAGTGACGTGAGGCTCTCAATTATTAGATATAATTGAGAGATATAGATAAAAATGACATATTGTAAAACACAACTACACGTGCAGCATAACTTTACTAACAAGCAAACCTCGAGAAACGTCAGACGCCAATTTTTCTCAAATTTTTTACAAATGTTTTATTAGTTTTGGCTCAAATTCATTTTTTCAATTAAAAAAGAATTTTTTATTTTACGTAAATACATGACTTTACATATATTTAAAGCTGTATTTCTTACAAAAATGAATCTACACCCAATTTTTTGAAAAAAGTTTCAAAAAATGGGTGTAGGTTTATTTTTGTAAGAAAAATACAGCTTTAAATATATGTAAAGTCATGTATTTACGTAAAATAAAAATTTTTTTTAATTGAAAAAATGAATTTGAGCTAAAACTAATGACAGATTTGTTCATATTTTGATATAAAAAGCATCTGTAAAAAATTTGATAAAAATCGGCGTCTGACGTTGCTCGAGGTTTACTTGTAAAGGTGGGTGGGTATTTCGGGCTCAATTTTTTGACAGATAATGATGACTTACAACTTTCCATTTGCAGTTTACATTCTTGTGTATCGTGAGGATAAATCAAAAAATTCATAGCGCAAGAGAGTTTTAAAGTCAGCCTAAAATTAATATTTGTATATTTCATACTTGGAAAACGAATATCTATGATAAAAATATGATTTGTCATAAACTCACTTCACCATGTAGAGAATAGTTTTATCCTTATACAACCATAGATAATGATTCGGTATCGTCATTGTTTGAAAAGTCACCGACTTTGCGTTCTTGAAGAAGGAATCCGGCCGCCACATATTTTTCAGCCAATCGACTTCTAATAATCTTAAATTTTGTCACATATAATATAAGCGAGATGAGAAATAATAATTAGTCTAGTTAGAAACTTATGGAAAACATGTACAGATAAATGCAACAAATATTCTGAATACAAAATGCATGTCAAAATCATTGAAAAAGTAGCAATGAATTTATGTACCTATACTCGGACGTCATATTTTCTGGTAATCGGAGTCTATTATCCTTCCACGTTTGGGCAAAGAAAATGTCGGCGGCATACGTCTGTAAGAGTAATTTACCGTCGAAAATGATTGTTTATTTTATAAATAATTAATCAATAACTAGGATAATGTGGAACTAGTTTTTTTTGTCAACACGCAATTTTATAATTAAGTATCAGGATAGACTGTGGATGTTACAAACAATTAAGATGGGAAAACACCAACACGGTCAAAGCGGATTTTGGTGCTCGATAATATTCTAATGTGTAAATCTTGCAATTTTCGGTTCAAATTTAATGTTCAAATTGTATGTATTCATAAATGTAAACATAAATTTTACACAATTTTATGTTAAATTCATAACGTAAAGATAAATTTTATAATAATATGTATTATCTTTAAAAATTGTGCGGTTACCATTGAATTTTCATCGATGGAATCGAGTCCCATCACAGTAACATGAAAATACACGACAGTTGCTTGGCCATCTTTCTTAGGAGGGCGCATTTTGTCGTACAATTTAGGATCTTCGGGTAGAAGATCGAAAAATTCTAAACTTCTCCTGCAAAACGAATATTGCGACGACACTTTATTTGAAATGTATAATTGAATAAGTACTTATTATTTCTTATTATGCTACTGTTAATTAGTTAAATTATTTAAATAAGATAAACGCGGTATAAACGCTTGATTTATTAATGTTAAATAAACTGTTTTATCAACCCATGCTACTAATAAATTTTTAAAATTTCGTTATATAAGAGAAAGTAAAGAGAAATAAAAGAAAGAAATTTTTATTTAGCCTTTGAATTAATACTGCTAAAGATACGCTTATATCAAAGAATTTTTTATTTTGATATATTACATCTAAAATTTTAATTTCTGCAATATTATGATAAATGATCTACTTACTGAGCATTCGCGGCACGACTGAAAAGTAGAAGGAACAAGACGGATGAAAGCGTCGCGGAAGACATACCGCCTCCGTGTGCCTCTTCCATGGATATACTTTCGCGTTAACGCATTTTCGCATTCGCGAAGGTCAAAACGGCACACGAAAAGGAAAAAAAAAAGTGAAAAATAGTTCACACTTGAGATGAGACGGAAGAAAAAAAGAGGAGAAGAAGAAAAATAAGAATCTCGAAATAATCTGGAAGCAAGATTCCGCAAGCGCGGTTGAGCGAGCTGAAGCTCCCCTAATCGGTGCCCCGAATTTACGAGGACGGGCAGTCGACGACTGAGTTCTTGAAACGACTTTGTCAAATCTGCAGAATCCTCATCGTTGCGTATAGATGAGCTCCGCGACGACGACGTGGAGGTGGTGCAGGTGGTGGCGGTGGTGGTGGTGATGGTGGTGGTGGTTGGTGGCAGTAGCGACCGTAAAGGTGATGTGTATACCAGTAGCAATACTTTCCTGCCGCCAACCCCACCACTTCCGCCACTTAACAGAGACACAGAGGGAAGAAGTGCTGGTGTGAAAGAAGGGGTAACTCTCGCTCATGACGTACAGGAGGCGGATAGAATCTGGAGTATCGCGCGCTGGATCGGCCGGGAGAAAGAGGGAAGAGAAGTGGCGGTAATCCCCCGCGAGATACCCGTGTCATTGGTTTACATCGCTCGAATTTACCTCAATGCGGTATATCAGCGTTATCATCGGGTTGCATTTGTATTCATAAATTCTCCTGGCGTTTTTGCTCAATCGCGAATCGCGAAACACGTTTACAAGTTTGTGTTTTACTTTTTTATCCGAGATTATATTCCTGAGATTTCCAGATTTTTTTAAACTTATTGTATTTTCCTATTATTCCCATAAATATTCTCGGCCAAAAAAAGAGTCCGTTGGCCGAAATAAAAAACTCAAAATAAAACAAATACAAAAAATGTACACTAAACAAAAATTTCTTTCGACATTTTCGCTAAGAAAAAAATTTTAGATTGATTAGAGAAAATCTATGAAATAAAAATGTACTTTTAAATATATTTTTATATTAGATAACTGTATCAGAAGATGCTTACTAAATATCTTAATAAATTTTAAAAGAGATATTAAGATTAGCAGTGACATTTCGAAGAAGACTAATGTACCTCTCTCATGTCTTTCTCCGTTTCTTCTCATTAGACTCTCTTGCCGAAAGTCCCTGACAGAAAGGCGCTAACTACCACGCAATTTGAAGTCACCACCGCTCAATATATTGATCGTCAAAAATTGTGTCACGAATAGAAAGATACGTGTTCGTCTCGGTTCGTACGGTGTCGAGTGGCCACTTATCGAAAGAGTATACACACGCGTTGATGTATATGTGTATGCAGATGCAATTCTGCGACTGTGCGCGTACGTATGCAATATGCATGTACGAATGTAAAATATAGTAGAAGACGGTATATAGAAGAGGACAAAAAACAGACAAAACTCGTAAAAAAAAGCATATTTAATGCATAGGATAGAAGTTTAAAAATTAATATGAACGCTGCATTCAATCGTTTCTTTTTATTCATTTCATAAAACAAGATCATTCTCGTGATCTTGAAAAATTTATATTGATTCCGACCTTGGAATTTGTCCTTCTCTGCTATGTTCAAAAGAAATCAACCCGCAATCTCATTAGTAACATTGTAATTAATTGCATCACGAAATTGAAGCAGCTTTTATTCGTATCTCGATGTGATTAAGCGATTCTCGACCTCATGATCTTCATATCTTTATGTATATCGCTCTTAATTAAATACTTTGAAGAACGTTCTTCAATTAGCATTTTTTCGCTCTAAATATATTCAGAGCATCTTGAAATTTATGCAGACAAAACCCTTAATTTTATGTCTAATTTAGGACTTTTTCTATACGTGTGTAAATATATACGTTAACAATTTTTATTATTTAAATTAAAAATCTTAATTTACTAGCTAAAAATTTTAAAGTCTTATAAAAATGTAAAAATTTAATTGATTCAAAATTCAATACTTTGCCTCTTAAAGAATTAATATATGCGTCAATAATTATTTTTAAATAATTAAATTAAAAATACGAATACTTTAATGAACTATTGTGCAATTAATTGGTATCCTCATAGGTAATTCTTAATGCACTTTTTCCGAACCGCAACAATCAGGTCATCGGGCCTGTAACAGCACTGGGAATACTGGATTGTGCCGCATCTCTCGACGTGCTCCTTGTACAATTCGATTCCTGGCGCATTCTCTTACCTTCATGCGACGACTGCATTCTATCGACATCGCTGCTACATCTCGCACACGTGACTAACAGATATTATTTACGCGTTACTGCAAGCACTTATGTGTCATATTCCTTCGCGAAGGAAAACAGTTGGACATATACAAGAAACGCAGGAGTAAAGAAAGATTCTTTAGAAATATCGATTTGAGTAAAAACAATTTTCTTTCTGTCCATCATCGTGTTTAGAACGGCACCTGTCAAACTGACGTGTTTTTGGTAAAAAATAAAAGATATATAATCTTTTAAAATTTTTCTTCTCTATCTCTCTCACTTTCACTAAATGTTTTATAATAAATATTATGAAACAAAATTATAAATCAACATTTATTATATACTTGCTTACGAGTTTGGCTACATGAAACAAAATAATGACTTCAAAATAAAATTCGATGGAAAAATAAAATACTTATGCCAAGATAATTTTATTATCTTATTATAGCTAAGTGGAAAAGCAAAATTGAACAGTGTGATTTTTATTAATTAGACGAAAATACGTATTAACGGCGTTAAAAGAAGGAAATAGTGAAGAAAAATTATCGTCACATGTAACTGCTATCGATGACACGGTGAACGACGACAAAATCGATCACAAGTACTAGTAGAAGCTCTCAGGTATCGTTCGGTTAAGAGAGCGATTACGTCAAAGGTTTCGTGACATCATTTGAAGCATCGTTGTCAAATGTTCAGAGACACAGCCGACGATCACTTCGACAAAGATTCTCTACTTTGGTCCAGAAGGCCGAAATTGAAGAGATTGGAAAAAAGAAGGAAAAAAAAGAAATATGTTGTAAAGCAAAACATGCGCGTAATTAGATGTCTCTTTCTCTTAATCATGTTTCTTAATTATTCTTGTCGCATTGCATTTTCCTAATCATAATTTTCAGATCATCAGATTAGCGAAGTTCGGCTGGATCAGACGTAGCATACACGTTTCGCAACATACGGATCCTCGTACTTTTTTATTTTTTTCGCGAACGTCAGCTGGAGGCGCTTTCGGTGCAGGGAAGCCGAAGGAGTGAGCAGGAAGGAGTGAAAGAGTGGGAAAGAGGGTTGAGATCGGAGCGTCAAGGTAGCCGAGGAAGAGGAAGATTCCGCGGGGTAGTTGGCGACGATGCACGATAAGCACGATCCATCCCCTTTCTCTGACATCAGGCTGTCTCTCTGCGTCTTGCACGCTCGACTCGAGACTAGAAGTGTCCACTCACTCCACTATCCTCTATTATTTTCAGCCGATTGCCGATTGTCGTGCAACTGCTGACGTAGGGATTCTTCTTACATATCTGCGGCTTGTCGATATTTCGGGATTATTTACATTATACTCTGATTTGATCGCTGGTTATTCATAGCAATCACACTCTTGTCACGGACGCGTAACGTGTATTCGAATTATCATTTCAAACTATCGTACAGTAACTAAATTATTGTATTATACTTATTGTTAATAGAAGTTTCAAAGTAATTAAATTAAAACAATTTATAATAATTATTAATTAATTAAAATTCAATTGGTACGAGAGTCACGGAAGATAATTTATATCTTATTGTTTCTACTAATATAGCTTTAATCCGGACTCAACTTACTTTTATTTTTTCTAGTTCTAAGAATTAAAAAAAGATATTATGTAATCAAGGTATTATAGATATTATATGTAATTAAATTTAGCTTCTATTTTTACATATATTACTTATTCATTACAAAGAAATTATAAGTTATAAATTTTATGTAACAAAATAAAATCTGAGACTGTTGACTTGTAGACAGATGAATCTATTTATTTCACGATATATTGCCGTCAATAATTCAGATATTTTTTTATCAGCAGGGTCAAAAAAATAAATGAAGATAACAGTGTTATCATTTATCGACGGTCTTGTTCTATCCACGATTAATCCACGAGCTTGCTAAGAGATGTCTCTCTAATCTTGTCTAGACTCCTAGACTGATAATGGTCAACAATTTTTAAATTTAACACCCTTTGTTACTTGCATCAGAGAAACTTATTGTTAGATTTATTACTCATATATTTTTATTTTTTAATATAAAGAACATATCTCTATACGAAAGAATTTATAGATTGAGAAAGAAAATAAACTGCAAATATAATATACATATACAATCGAGCTTACTTATTATGAATTATGTGATTTAAAATATAACGAAGATAAATTTAAATGTGTAATAGATTAAAGTACATATTATAAGTGCTAATCAAATTTCAAATATCTTTAACGAACTTCTAATATTTGAAAAGTATTTTTTAATTTAACTTTTCTTACTTGTTATTAATTCTCACAACCTGTCAGTTTTTTTTATTAATCAAAACATACTAATTACGTTTATAAGATTTTCACCAAGGAATACAGGATGGGAAAGAGGAACATGAAAAACATTCGATTAAGATTCACCGAATAATTTATTCGAATAATTCCGCTACCTCATAAGATGAAAGTGAAAAAAGAAATATAATCATGACTGTTATTTGTTCTTACATGACATAGAGAGAAAAATAATACTCGAACGCAAATGAATAAAGCAGAGGAATAACGTTTCATAGAAACAACACGTAGTGTATACACATATATACGATTAAGTCTTTTCTCTTCGACTCGTACTTTTACTTCTTCTTCTCCTGAGCTTTCTCCTGCGCCTTCTCCTGAGCCTTCTCCTGCGCCTTCTCCTGGATCGCCGGCTTGCCGGTATGCTCGATCTTGATCGTCCGCTCGTTCTGCGCCTTCGGCTTGTCCTTCCTGGGCGCGGTAACGGTCAGCATGCCGTCCGATGACAGGCTCGACGTCACCTGATCGATATCGCACTGTTCAGGTATCATGTATTTGCGCACAAATTGCCGTGAGATCCAGCCGTGCTCGTCCTGCTTCTCCTCGTGCTTGGCCTCGACCACCACGAATTTGTCCACGACCTTGACATTGATCTCTTCCGGCTTGAACTGTTGCACGTCCAAGATTACCTGGAACTTGTCCTTGTCCGACTTAACGGTGGATATGCCACCCTGTTCCCTGCTGCGCAACAGTTCGCCCCATGGTCGATTGTAGTAACTCGCCAGCAGATGCGCCGGGCGTAGACGCCGGTTAGGCTGCACCGCGAAATGCTCGATGATACTCGGGTTCGTCAGCTGCTCCGGATGAACGCCCAAACCGAAGTTCTGATCGAAGACTCGGTGCGGATATTCCAGATCTTCCCACCAGTTGGAGAACAGCAGCGGTACCAGAGACATGTTGGCTTTCTCAAGAGAGACTCGCAAAAGAGACACGGGAAACGGGAAGTCTCGAACGAAATCAATCGAAACTCTTGGCTGAGATTTGATAATGAGACGATTTGCTTTCTATCAACGATTCACGCTGACTCGCGCTAACTACAATTGCAATCGTTTTCTGTCGGCAACCGGCTCGCGCCGCGTGTTTTATAGTCATGGCAACTGCGCGGACGCATGCGCATACGACGGGAGAGCTGCATGTCGCGTAGTTTCGAGAACGTTCGTGGATCGATTAAGCGCTTCTTAAGCACATTCGAGAACATACTAGCAATTTCGCGATCGCTCCACGCGTTTCTGGCTCTATTCTATATATTAAATAACTTGTGTTTTTTCTCACGCGGAATCCTGTGTATTGTCACGCAGTGATTTAGGAGCTAGCGGCAAAATTTAGGATCTTTAATTGATAAACGACAAAAATGAGATTCAAATTTCGAGAACGTTGGAGAATGTTAGAGAATGAATTCCAACCGTCGATTCAAGACAATAGATGCCGGTAGTTAAACTTAACGGAAACTTACCGGTTTTAATTCAGTATATAGAATAATTCATAGCAATCATATTCGTTTTTTTTTAAGGAATTCAAGAGACATATGTAGGCAAAAATAAAATCAGTCTGATCGAGAAAGTTCGAGAGTTTATTTTGAATGCGTGCGGCGCGTAAGTTGTAAAACAGAAATGTTAAAAAAGTTTAAACTTCTGATTTAAAAAATGCCGATGCAACTAATCGATGAGAATTTTATATTGTAAAAAAATTTGATTTAATATGATAAAAGAGAATGTAAAAATAAATATTTAATTTTCAGATTAAAGACAGATTGAATTTAATTATGCAGTTGTATTATAGTTAACATTACAGTTAAACTGAATGATTTGCTAGAAATTATTATTAGAAATAATTGACGCAAATAAATAGGTTAATATTATAAAAATTGGTTTTAATGACGCCACGGATAGTGTAGTAAAGATTATTTTTCTTTTTTTTCTGAACAAACATATGTGCAATAATTCTCTTTTTATACAAGCGCTGTGTGCAATTTAATGTTTCTATTTGTGTCTACGGAAGCGCACGATTGATTGCACGTAAGCGCACTACATAAGCGTGTAAAATACAATAAACACTTTTAAAAAACTTCTAAAGATTTTTTCATTGTTATATGCGCTTATGCTTTATAGTAATATATTATTGTAACAGAGTATTATTTCAATTAGTCAAGTAAAATTAAAAATATTTTAAATTAATTAAGCATTTTAATTTATTTAAAAAATATGAAAGGAAAAACAATTTATAAAAAAAACAAGATTGAAAAAGAAAATAGATTTTTAATCTTTAATAAGATGAAAAAATTGACGATAATTTACTTTATTATGAATTAGAAACAAAAATTTATGTTTTAATAAAAAAATTTTTCTTATAACTTTTACTACAAATTGATTAAAAACCTAAAGAATACATAAAAGTATTTTAAATAAATGGCTTAATCGAACAAAATTATACAATTAGGCACTATGACAGATCATTGATGCATGTTTATTAGAAAACGTTCACTATGTTAGCGAACTGTGCAAACTTGATCTGTTCGTATATAAAGTTAGCGATTATTTCTCAAACCTCTGTGAAACTGAATATGTTGCATTCATTTTAAATTTATCTTTTTTTTTATCTTACCGTTCCTAGAAATGAACTTGTGACAAACTGCTCGCAAACAGCAACCAAACAAATTAAAGATAACCGATCGCGAACTTTTTTAGCAGTTTGCAAGCTATTCGCAAATGAATGTTCGCATCGGAAAATAAATCCTTCCATGATCTGTTTGCAAACTGTTCGCCAATTCAGGTGAAGACGCACCTTTTATATGTTTGACGGCGCGTCACATTTGACATGTCAGTCACGCATATTGCACCAGATTACGAACTGTACACAACGATAATGTGTTGTTTTAACCTGGAAGTAATTATTTAATTTATTTTGCGTTAACGATCACCTGAGATGATTTTTACACTTCAATTAAATTCATTATTATTAACTATGTATTTGTATATTGTATACTATTGATTTTATCTTAAGATAAATTTATAACAATTATTTTATTATAACTTGTAATTTTGTACACATTTAGAGAATTTGTTTTCAATTATTTGTTATTTTCCCTGTATTTTGTAGTTCAAATATCATAAGTCTACATATATTAATTATTATTTATTCATTATAAATATGTTTTAGAATTTAGATCATCAAATCTTATTCAAACTTATATATTATTTTGATTTTAGAATATGAATTATATATACTTTTGATTTTATAGCATTCAAGTAATCTGGGGTAGTTTTTACAATAAGTTTCAACAAATTGATACTATGAATACACGGGTATTAATCTGATTCTATTGTATAGGAATTTTCAAATAAAAGATAAATATGAATTCTCAATAGCGGTAAAAAAGACTACTGACATGATTTAATTTTTTTGCTGCTGAGATGTATAAAAAGTACCCCAGATTATTCTTCTCAGGTTGATTATTCTGACGTTAAAATGCAGTTTGTAATAATGTTAAGAATATTTCGCTGCTTACCAACGAATATTTGTCGAGATATCCGATTCGATTAGTCGTGATGTCCTTGTGTCTGCATGGAAACAGTGTAGCGAAAGAGAGAGAGAGAGAGAGAATATTTAACTTCTGAAATATCATCAAGTCAATCGCGGAAATAACCAAAATTTATTTAGGGAGTAAAACAGCTGTTTTACTTCATCATTATGTTTTTGAGATCGGTATAATTTGATAAAACACTTGACCGCGCTAAAGCAACATTAATGATTTTGGATTTTTCCTGTCGTTACACAGCATTGCTTGTTAAACATACCTGTGCGTAATACATTGGAAAATGATATTTACATTATGTCAAAGTGGTAGATTAAATAAAATAAGACTGTTATTAAATAATCTTATTGATGTTGAAATATTTCACAAATAAAATAATTATTACAGGAATAAAATTTAAAAAATTTCTTCTTCTAGATTTTAAAACTTTGTTACAAATATATTAATTATAAATAATTATACAACTGGCACAATAAATCTGAGTACGAATTAAATAATTTCTTACTTTTCATTAATTAAATGAAATGTGAAAAGAATTTTTTTTTAATTCACATTTTTTGCATTCTTTTTTTTTTGCTATTATTTGACATTGTTCTTGAATCTTAAATTTCTAATTTGTAGCAAAGAAATATGTGTGTGTAAATAAATTCATTAAGAATTATATACCTCTTGCGTAAAAAGTGTAGTATGTTGTTTCTCGATAAATAAATGTGATTAATTATTTTATGAACTGAGCAAACTTAATTTGACCTTGATAAAATGATATTTATGTAGAATAAATTTTAGTGTATGTGTGTTACTAGAATAAACTTTAATAAACTTGCGCCGGTATAAGAACCTACAAAATCGTATGTTAAGTGTTATTTTTGCATTCTATTTTTGTCAAGTATAAAATTAATTCTTCTCTTTATAGTTTTACATATTTATTGTAACCAATAATTATTAATGATTAATGGACATATGCTCAATTCTTCTTTTTTTCATTGCTATAATAAACAAAGGAAGATGCGGTCGATTGTTTCGTTTATAAAGCTATTGATTTGAAATTTGATATATGTAGAAAATGATTTTAATTAATCTTTTTTTAGAAACTTCAGTTCTCTAAATCATTAATTGTTATTACTACAGCTATTCGAAAATACTTAGTGTGAATATAAGAAAAATTGAAGAGAAAAATAGAGAGAAAGAGAGAAAGAGAGAGGGAGAGGGAGAGAGGAAGAGAGAGAGAGAGAGAGATGTGTACATTTTTTATATTTAAAGAAATACGATTTTTATTAATTATGATTTACTTTATTACCATTACTTAAACGAAATGAAGGAAATAATACAATATTGAATGTAATAAAAATATTTTAATCTTATTATCTTATTATTAATATAAAATTACAAATACATTTCCTTCAAGAATGAACTATTGTATATAATATTAGAATACCCATGGAATTTTGCTCGTTTACAGCCTTTTAATTTTATTTTTTAATATTAAAAGAAAAAAAAATCCGTAATTTAATCTAATCATTTTTTGAATCTTGATCCTGCTTTCTGTGCCTGCGTCACTTGTTCCTGAATAGCCTCGTTCTTTACTGTCTGTTCTTTAAGCGGTTATTTAAAACTCGTCAGCTCAGCGGCGGTCTGTCCTGCGACGGCCTGTCCAGCAGCGACCTGATCAGTGACGGCCTGACCAGCGGCGACCTGATCAGTGACGGCTTGACCAGCGGCGACCTGATCAGTGACGGCCTGACCAGCGGCGACCTGATCAGTGACGGCTTGACCAGCGGCGACCTGATCAGTGACGGCCTGACCAGCGGCGACCTGATCAGTGACGGCTTGACCAGCGGCGACCTGATCAGTGACGGCCTGACCAGCGGCGGCTTGTCCGGTCTGTTCGATCTGGATCACCTTTTCATTTACCGGCTTCAATGGCGCAATAATCGTCAAAATGCCGTCGCTTGATATCGAGGATGTTACTTGGTCGACGTCAGCGCGACTAGGTAACAGATATTGTATCACGAACTGTCGCGTGACGATGTTGGACTCGTCCTGCTTTTCTTCGTGCTTGGCTTTAACGATCACCAAATGATCTACTACCTTGACGGTAACATCTTCCGGATTATAATTCTGCACGTTTACAGTAATCTTGAAGTTGTCGTCGTCGATGCTCGTGGTACTAACGACATGTTGGTTATGATTTAGCAGATTCAGCCAGGGTTTGTAGAAATTCAGAATTCCGTGGTTATAATTAACCAGTGTATGATAAGGATCAAGGGCGCAAGAGACTTCTGACAGGGCAAGTTTCGTTTTACCAAGCGTTCCAGCGGCGAGGTCCACCGGATTGGCGAGAGCACCCAATCCCAAATGGAGATTTAAGAACAACAACGGCAAGAGATACATGATGTCGTCGATAGATTCTCCTCTTGCTTATAAATCGATTTTGGCGAAGATATCAGGCAAATAAAGGAGCAACTAGCTAATCCACTGATGCCTCGTGTATTCGCACAGAAATTTTGTAACGTGGGCTGTCGTCGCGACCATTATTTATACCAGACAGCTTTCGGTCTGGGTGGGGAGATACGTTTTGTAATGTTTGTAAGGCTTAAAAGATTCTACATTATCTTTTATATCTTGGATAACTTCTAGATCATTTATGTCATTAACGTTGACATTTTATTAATCTATAGATATATCAAAGCTTTTGTGTAATAGAAAGGTCAAAAAGATTAATATCTATTAAAAAAAATTTAGAAGAATGAAATTGATTACACCAGTGGTTTTCGAATAAAAGAAAAATACAACGCAATTCTTTCACATTTGGCGGTAAGTAAATTATGACATGCAAAGTCAATACGGTGACTAAATGAGCAAAGTAATTTATTACGAAAATTATACAATAACATTCATTTAGCAATATCTCGCAATTATAACGCTTTTCATCTATTATCATATGTAACAAGTGAAAAAAATGTACATATTTGGTCTGATAATTCAGTTTATCGATTGTATGTCAATATTTTCGAATTATGTGAATCTCAAAAACAATATTTGTGTTTATTACTGATTTTTTTACTTTTTTATTTTAGTGCATACTAAATAATATAATATAAAATATTAAGTTTAATGCATTAGAATGTTAGAAATAGTAAAATGGTGTATGTTAACATATTGACTGTCGCATTTCATCCATATTTAAATGATGTGTAAATTTTCGGAAGTGGCCTCGTCACTCATTTGGGATTTTGATGGTTTTATTTATTCGATTATAAATAATTTTATTAAGTATTTAAGTAATTAAAAAAATAATAATTATAACAAGTCATTAAAGAAAACAATAAAGTATTATTAAAATAATATACTTGCTGTAAGTCTGCTTTTGTAACAAATAGATTTTTGTAATGTAATATTTTCTATCATAAGATCACTGTCGCAAAATTAAGAACTGCTAACGCAATATTTCAAAAGATCCAAATTGCTAACGCAGCCAATCCAAAATTCCGTAATGTTGCAATAATTGTAACTTTATTTCAATCTTCGGCGAATTTTCCCCGTTATATCAGCCGGTGTTATATGCTTTATGAAAAAATGCTACTATTTTTCTTTATTTTTATGTTTTTAAGACGTTTCATCTGCATATAATAAATAATAATGGGATACATAACACTTTTTAATTTTCACTGTCTGTTGAAGATAAATTGTTTCTTTGCAAAGGTTATGCAATATTATCTTTTGATCAGCAGCACATAAATTATAAAATAACGAAGTTACGTTCTATTTTATAGACAGCCTGTCGCAGACAGCGTTCATTTTTAAAGATTCACGGCCTTCTGAAAATGCCTTATATCCCTTAAACACTTGTGATCTCGACAATGCATGCTAAGTCATAGGCCTGTTTCAATATTGTTTTTCTTAAGTTTGACACAAAATTTGATCGCATAACGTTGCTCGAAATTGCACTTTTCCATTCTAGTACGTGACACACACACACAAAAACTGCTTCACAAAGAATCACACTAAAATTACCTGGTGACTTTAGCGATTTGAACTTATATTGCAAGTCTATGAGAGATTAACTGCGCTTCATAGTATGTGAAGGGCGATCCCGCAATATCGTCAGATATCGTGTGACATAGGCAGTTTTATTACTTTATTTACAGACCTTATATGTTGCTGGCTTCATACTAGCGACAATATAAAAATATTCAATAATTTTTAAAGATTTTACTAAAAAACTAAAATTAAAATTACAAATAAATTTGGGATCGTTTTTTATGGTCATGGCTGCAGGATCATGATTTCTAATAATAATCCTGTATGAATTTTTAAATTTATTATTTAGCTATTTAAACTGTGTATCGAATCAATGTCGGACTTACAACGCAATTATTAGCTGAAGCTGGAATAGTGAGATCTTTATTGACCTTCAATTATTAATTCCGTGCGAATAAACATCTTTCTTAAAATACTGCAAAAAATATTATCTTAGCTAGATTTAAATTTAGGACCTTTTGACGTTCCCGAACAGACATTTTACCAATTCGATCACCGTGAGTAATAATATTTGTCGCAATAATTGTTATAATAAAGTGATGTCAGTATATATAAAGGGAGAACGTATGCCAGAAGTACGTAAGTATATGTATGTACACAAGGCGTCACAAATGCCTACTTATCTGAACTTGCAGGGATACTAACCCATGTATATGTATTACTGATTACATATATGTATATACAATAATATATATGTATATGCCGCTGCAATTTTAGATGAGTAGGCATTTGTGACGCCTTGTGTACATATAAGTATTTTAAAATTATAATTTAATTTATTAAAAATTTATTTAAAATATATTTTGCGCAAAAATGATTTCTTAATAAGTATATTTAGCTTATGGAAATGAGCATTATATTCTAGTTTAACTTGACTTCGATAGAGCAATATTTACAGAATAAAATCTAATAAATCTACGGAAAAAGTATAACTACAGAATCGCACATTAAAGCGTTATTTTTGCTTTTCATTTTTAGTCTCGTCTAAAGTCGACCCTTTTTAATGTTTTTATATATTTACAGCAATGAATAATTAAAAGCCGACAAAGATACGCTTGTTTACTTATTTTTTTATTGATGACAATAAAGGAAGATAAACTTAAATGCTTTTTTAAATTCCTTCTCTGTTTATCGAAAGTTATTAGCTTGAAATTTAATATAGTAAACAATTCCTTTCGAACAATTCTTTCTTTTAGAACTTTGAATTCTCTGAATTTTTATTGCTATTATTAGCAGTTCAAAAATACTCAATATGAACATAAGAAATTTTTTGTGCAATATAAATGTATTAATTTTTTAAATTTATTTGATTAAATATGATGTCAATTAATCAAATACAATATTACATATGTAAACAAAATGAAATAAATACAATGTCGAATGCTGATAAAAACCTTTTTATTTTATTGTTAATATAAAATCACAATAAATTCACAATTCTTTCAAGGCTGGAGATAGCACGAAATAGATCAGTGTAATAAGGAATGAAAATATAACGACACAATAGGAAATATATTATAGTTACAGCGAGGTATGCAGCCTTGTAAAGCATACAATAATGTGTTGTGAAAAATTTAGTATTAAAAAAAAAGAAGACAAGATTTCGTAATTTAGTTTATAGTTTCACAGGTCTTATTTTTGCTTCATGTGCCTACAATGTCATCGTTACTGGTTCTCGAATAATCTCGCTGTCCTCTATTTGTTTCTCTAATAAGCTATTAGTCATAAAACGCGCAAGCCTGTCCTGCAACAGTCTGTCCAGCAGTAGCTTAATTAGCGGCAGCCAGGCCTGCGGCAGCCTGTCCAGCAGCACCAAATCCCATACCAGCCTGTCCTGCAGCAGCTTGCATAGCGCCAGCCTGTCGAGCAGCACGAAATCTAATGCCAGATAGTCCTGTGTCAACCTGTCCACCAGCACGAAATCCAATGCCAGATAGTCCTGCGTCAACCTGTCCAGCAGCACCAAATCCCGTACCAGCCTGTCCAGCAGCAGCACGAAATCCAATGCCAGATAGTCCTGCGTCAACCTGTCCAGCAGCACCAAATCCCGTACCAGCCTGTCCAGCAGCAGCACCAAATCCAATGCCAGATAGTCCTGCGTCAACCTGTCCAGCAGCACCAAATCCCTTACCAGCCTGTCCAGCAGCAGCACCAAATCCAATGCCAGATAGTCCTGCGTCAACCTGTCCAGCAGCACCAAATCCCATACCAGCCTGTCCAGCAGCAGCACCAAATCCAATGCCAGATAGTCCTGCGTCAGCCTGTCCTGCAGCAGCAAATCCTGCATCGGCCAGTCCGGCGGCAGCTAGTCCTGCGGCGCCATGTCCAGCGGCAGACACTCCTGCACTAGCCACTCCAGCGGCAGCCTGTGCAACAGCAGCTTGTTTAGCAGCGGCCTGTGCAGCAGCAGCAGCTTGTGCAGGAGCAGCTTGTGCAGTGGCAGCAGCTTGTCCAGCGGTAGCTTGTCCCGCAGCAGCAAATCCTGCATCGGCAAGTCCAGCGGCAGCTAGTCCTGCGGCACCATGTCCAGCAGCAGCCTGTGCAACAGCAGGTTGTTTAGCAGCGGCCTGTGCAGCAGCAGCAGCTTGTGCAGGAGCAGCTTGTGCAGTGGCAGCAGCTTGTCCAGCACTAGCTTGTCCCGCAAATCCTGCGGCAGCTTTGCCAACGCCAGCCTGTCGTGCGGCAGCCTGTCCAATTCCCGCTTGTCCCGCGAAGACATCCACCGCATTGATGGGAGCATTTAGTCCCAAAAGAAGACTCGTGAACAGCAACGGTACGAGATACATGATGTCGTTCTCTTTCTACTTACGAATTTTTCGTTTGACAGTTATCGAAGAGATCGGCGGGTGAAGGTGCAACTGATTGATTTGCTGCTTGCGTACAATGCTCTACCTCGTGTTCTTCCACGGGGATTGTGCAATGAACGATGTTGTCGCGACCGTTATTTATATCAGACAGTTTTCGATTCGGGTGGGGATGTTTCGTAACGTATATTATTATTAACGCTTTGAGAAGTCATTGTGAATGGAAGTTGCATTTTCAATTAAAACAGATCCTCCACTAATCTGTTCAACCCACTTTCAACTATTTACTCACATTTGGTGGTTAAGTAAATCGAGATGATGTACAAAGTCAATATCATAACTGAATAAGCAAAGTAATTACGGAAATTATATAAAATCATTCATTTAACAATATCATGCAATTAGAACGCTTTTTATCTATCATTATGTGTAAGAGAGTGGAAAGTACCATGCAGTTTTGATCAAAAAATTCCATTATTAATTGCACATCAATTAATGCTTACGAAATAAATGAGTCATATTATATATACGTAATATTAACATATGAAATAAATAATATGTAATATAAAAATTTAACAAGCTTGAATGCTAGAATTATTAAAATAACATATATGCGTTAACACTTTGATTGTCGTGTCATCCATATATCTGGTAATGTAGAAATTTTCACATAGACTTCGTCACCCATATGTGAATAATGGTTTATTCTATTAAGGAAAATTTTATTGAGAATAAGATGTTAAAGAAATTAAAATTATATTAAAAAGTTAAAAATGTTAATATAATATTAAAATTAGATTTATTAATAGAGGACAAATAGAATATGTGTATTAAATTAAGAGTAAAAAAATGATGGATAAAATGGCGATTTTTGCCTGAAAAATATAACGTAAATTATATATGTAATCTTATAATTTTAGAAGTCACTGAATATTAGGTTTATTTGCCTCGTGAGAAAATTATCAAATTTTTTGTTTTAAATTAGTCGAAATGAGTCTTTTTCTTATAAGAATATGGTTAGTGACATCTTGTTCCAATTATATTGAATCACTTGTATTATAGTTATTTCTATAACATTTTAAAAATTATTTTGGCGAAGAAAATATCTTAACGACAGTTTACAGAATATGCTGTTCCAGCGTATTTTTTTATATAAATGCTCTTGATGCAGATTGTCACACTTGGACTCAATTAGATTGAATATTTTTTAAGTAGGTATTTTTTATATATTTTCTAATTTTTAAAAATACGAGCATTGAAATAAATTATAGTACAAATAATTCGAACGAAATGTTGTAAATCATGTTATTAAGAAACACTTATTTTGATTTTTTGAAGATGAACTCGAATTACTTTTTCACGAATTTAGATAAATAAAACTGGTACCATTGTATATTCAGGGTCTGAAAAAAATAACGTATAATTTACGTTACATTTTTTTAGGTATAAAAAATTGCTTGGTTAATTATTTTTTGTAAATTTATTTCAGGAAAAGGTACAAATAAACATGCAGTTTAAGCGTTATTTATTATTATATTTAAGATATAAAAAAATTTTATTTGAATATAAATTATAATTTTACTAAAAATATAAGAGTTATCTATCATTGTGTAAATAATTTTAATGTAAATTATTTTTAGTTTTACCACAATTCTGTGTTAAGGAAGCTATTTGTTATTGTTCTTGTTTTTTTTTTAATTTGTTTTCTTTTATATGCTCTATGGATTTTGAATGCAAAAAAGATATTCGAAAAATGTTATTACAAAAAAATAATAACATATAATAATTTTTATGTGATAAAGTTTTGCGTATATATAATTATTATCATTTTGTAATGACATTTTTCTAACAATCTATTTTAGGTTTAATCTATAAAGTAAAATGTTCTGAGGAAAGTTACATCAGAAACTAATAACTTGCTTTTATAGAAGTTTCGGAATCATTGCAAAACGCGAGAATTGAAATTTTCCAACTTGAAGTTTTTGAGTCTTTAATGATAGAAAATTCCTACATATTTAATGAGTTTTATATCACACACTAACTGTTTAGTTTACATCTCAAATATAGTAATAAATTACATCTAAACGGAGAATTTATTCCATTTATTTATTTCCTGAAATAAATTTTGGCTTCAGTTTGACCATTTGATCAGAAATCGACTTGTTTCTCCTTAAGCTTAATTCCGAAATCAGCTTGATAATCAAAATGTTAACATTACAAAAAATGATACGCATAATCAATATCCTTATCTGCAGACTTTATTGCAATGAAACATTATGTTTGATTGTACGTAATCTAAATATTTCCGCTCATGTATATCGAAGAGTCCTTGATCATTCTCCAACACATATGTTCATGATACATAAGTACCAGTAAATATGTTATAAAATATTGATATTTCAAAATTCATTACAGAATGAATCATTTTCTTCGGTGGTTTTTTCCATTCCAAGCAAATTTTTCCAAGAAAGCGGATATTCAATATTTGAAAACAAATAAATTTTTGGATAATAGAATTCATTAAATTTATTTAATTTTAAAATGATTTATTCGCTGTTAAGAAAAAAAATAATGCAAATTTAAAAAGAAATAATTAAATATTTGGAATAAATTAATAATACAGGTTTTTCATTTTAAATAAATTTTTTTATCTTTTTATCTTTAACAATAAAATTACTTTTAATTATTTTTAATTATACTTTTTATTTAATTAACACATATTGCATCATTATACATTAATATTTATATTGCATCTTTATATACAGTTTCAGTCATTCGCACATCCTGTATTTAGATTTCTCATTTTTCTCCTTTTCAGCATTTTTTCTTTCTAATTATATTTATATTTTTCTCATAAAAAAATTCTGTGGACTAAATCCAGTAAATAAAACGAACAGATCTCAAGTTTACACACTTGAAGATAATGGCTCTTTTGTCTCTTTTCATCTTTTCTTGTCAATCATACATCTAAGAGAAATACATATATTTTTATCAAAATACAGTCTTAATCTTTTAATTATAAATAAATAAATCGAAAGCTGTAGAAGACAAGAATGAAAGAATCCTTAATATAGAGAATACTTGAATGCCACTTGTGGAAGATAAACCTGAAATCTAAAAGTCTAAGCTAAAAATAAAATAAGTCAAATTCGAAGTAAAATAAAAGTCAGAAATTAAAGAAACTGAAGAGGATAATAAATAAATTTCGGAACGCTCTTAAATCGTTTTTTCAGTTACATGTTTGTTACGTTATATGGTGTGTAAATATTTTGCATGTATCGTAGGAAATTATTTCTGTTGTGACTATCAGTTATATTGTGATATTTAAAGCGTTATAAATACAATGTATATGATTTACAATTAGTATATAGAGATATATCTTTTTAAATGATATTTTAATTTTATGTAATAACATTTGCGGTACAAAAAGTTTTTTTAATCTTCTTCTCTATCAATATACAAAGGAAAAAGAAGGAAGGGAAAGAATTATCTATAACTTTCTAATGTTTTATACCACATATTTTTTTCGATCAAACTTTCTCCTAAACTTCACTTGAAATTAATTGACAATGTAGTGTAGTTTTATTATTTATTTGACTTTTTAAAAATCGTGATAATTTATAACTTAAGTTTATAACTTAAAGACTTTTGACGCTAAGATATTTTTGATAAAGATAAATAAAAATTATATGTCAAAGAATCTATTATTTGTTAAAAGATATTCGATGGTTTTAAGACAACGTGTACAATAAATGATTTGTAGAACACTGCTAGAATAAATATGTGTACAACGAAAAGTTACTATATATGTTAACATGTACAAAATAAAATTAGGAATTTGTAAATTCAATAGGGTAATAAAATAATATATATAATTAAAAAATTTTTATATTTTATTTTATTTTATATTTTATTTTATTTTAATAAACAATCAGTCTTACATCCATTTTACAATAACTATTTTTTAAATTTTAAATAAAAATGAAAATGTTGTATCTTTATTACCTAGCTTTATTCGAGTATAATATAATAAATAAATCTTATATAGTTTATCTATTCTAACTTATGATAAATGTTCGATATAAATTCATAATAAATTAAAAATAACAAAAAATTGAGCAATTACTGAAACTGGTCATGTTTGTTAATTTATGTAGTAGTTAATTTAAGAGTAGTAAATATCTATTATTGGTCCAATTAACTAGTCTATTAGAATTATTAAATAAACAATTTTTCAATAAATACATAACAGTAGATTTAGAAATGCTTTTATAAAAAATAATTTTACTAATCATATTGTAGAGATTAGATTACAAGATAGATAAATTAAGTTTATATATGTCTAACACAGAAAATGTATATAATAATACAGGCTTATAATCGGAATCAATACTGATTTAGTGAACAATTTTTACACAGTTAATTTAAAGAGTTGGTTTTTCATTCTTCTCCTCCTCACTTTGCTGGTGCGCCTGCGGTTTTTCCTGCTTCTTGTTCAAGAAGGGCTTTCCAGTGTACTCGATCTGGAGCTTTCTTTCCGTTTCGTCCTTCAGCGGCTGCAGCTTGGGTGCAACGATAGTCAGAAGACCATCGGACGACAACTTGGATGTCAGATGTTCGACGTTAATGTCTTTCGGCAGCTGATACTTGCGGACGAATTGGCGGGACACCCAGCCGTGATCGTCCTCCGTGTCCTCGTGTTTGGCCGTGATGACGAGGTGATTGTCCACGATCTTCACCTCGATCTCTTCCGGCTTGAAATGTTGCACGTCCAGCACCACTTGGAAGTTATCTTTGCCGGTGGGAGATGTGCGTGGACTCTCATAATGCCGGGTGGCCAGATTCAGCATGTTCTTGAGCTGGTCGTGATTTCGCCACGACATCAGGTAGTCGTTGACAGCCTCAGCTGGCGACGGCAGTCGCTTCAATCGACGTACCAGGCCGTAGTTCGGGTCCAGGAAGAAGCGGCACTCCTCGGAGTCCTCCAAGTCGCAGAATATGAATGGTTGCAGGGCCATTTCGCAGGATTTCTCTCGCTAACAGTGATTTGCGACACACTCCAAGTAGATTACGATTCGATCGTTGTTGATTTTGAGTATAGAATTAAAGTCACTGATGGTTGCAACTTTCTCGCAACTTTACTCTGACGTCAACTGTTTGCTCGCTGACAGCGTACTGATCTCACTCCGGCGCGTAGCCGGTGTATATATACAGCAGCGCATGCGGTCGAGAAACCTTTCGAACTTTCGAGGCGAGTGTGAGCGAAGTGTCTCGTACATTCTCGTATGTTCCACGTTCCGATTAAATGATGATTGTGAGCGGGCAATTCTCTTTACACCGAGCGCGGAATAAATATGAGTTTTATTTTAAAATATAGTCGCGAATGAACAAATTGTCTGAAGTCTCTACATCAGACAGCTATATATAGGAATCAATAAACGCATGAATCTTAATATTTTAGAAAATATAGGTGTCTGTAGAAGTGTAATATGTCTTAACGTGTTTATATGTCTTAACTCTGTTGTTATACAATATAATATATACATATAAAAAGTGTACGTATGTTTATATTTCTTAGAATGTGAAATCAGATTCCAGAGTAAGTTTGTAAATTTTATAAAATTAATCAAAGTTAGACTAAATAATTAATAATACTTCGAGGAACAGTTTAGAAATTGTTTAAATAAAAAAATAAGTGAGATGCCATATATGTATATTTCAAATTTCTCTATAATGAGAGACATTGATATGATTATAATTAAGAAATTTATAAGTATTTTTATAACTTTATATTTAAAAAATAGAAAACGTTAATTAAATTGTGATTAAAGTAATGTAAAATTAAATTTATTATTGTTAATTTCAGACTTTTAACAGAACTTTTAACAAGATCTTAACAATTTTAAAATGTGTAATAAAATGTGAAGTTTATTAATTATATGTAATATATATTCTAATTTAAAAAAAAAAATTGTGTTAAAAATTATAAATGTATACATCAAGGAATTGATTTTTATTAATTAATATTTAAGAAATAATCTTTATAAATTGATTGTAGAATCTGAAACAAAATGTATATATTTTGTATACTTCTTGACATCTCTAAAGCTTCCTTTCGCAATATCTCATCGATAATGCGATAACTCCACGTTTCTAGAATTATATCTAGAATTGTCAACTACTGCTTCTACCTCAGCCTGGCTTGGCCTGGCTCAAGCTTTGCCGGGTTTACGCTAAGTGACGTCACAGAGGTTACGTTTAGAATGATCTGGAACACTCTCGCCGTTTCTAGCGACACCTGGAATTATCTACGTCAGATAAAGCGTCTCGTTGCCAGCGCGCTCTAGAAGCTACTGGCCATTTCTGTCGGCTTCTTCATGGCTCAACGACTTCAAATTTTAAATCCAGCACGAGTCGGAATACTAAAACGACACAAAGCGCTGAGAAAGCGGAACAACGTCCCTCGATAGAAAGAGGCGATTCCATCGAAATCTCGTCTATCATGTGATAATAGTGATCGTTTCCGGATCTTGTTTCGTAAATTATCCTACGCTATCAGATTCGTAAAAATACTTGTAGGGATGGATGAACAGAACGTGTTATACGTAGAAGTGTGTCAATATGCCCACAGGTATTGTTTATGCCACTGTTTAGATTGTTTGGGCATGTTTTGTCGTCAAGATCATGAAGATGTTATTTGATTTTAAATTAGAATCTGTTGAAACTGTCTCATTCATTACATCATGTATATCTGTTAACCTTAAAAGAGACTGAAAGGACTATTGATTACTTTTTTGCAAAACGACATGATATAATATAAATATAACTTACTATAAAAAGCATTGTCACGATGAAATAATTAAAATGCTTTTTTAGTTCTTATTTATCAAATAATTTCTGATTATTGAAAACAATATGAACTTTGCAATAAATAACGAATAAATGTATTCCTTACAAAGTAATACCTTTTTAAGCTATTGAGACAATTTTATTGGAATAATAATATGTAATATTGATAATTAAAGGCTTTAACTTGCACTTTTCATAATCAACCTTGACAACACTTGAATTTATATTCAATTGCATCTGAAATCAATTTTAACAGATTTATATCTGTTTTGTGAGATTATGTTTTACTAATTGAATAAAACTAAGTGATTTGTTCTTGTCTGTTTTAGTATCTTATCAAAAACCATAATTGAAGAAACTGTAAATGCCGAATTACAATTATTGGATGAGATCTCTCTCGATGTCATTGTATATGGTAAAAATTGTATGAGCACAGTTATCAAAGATCATGTCGAATCTATCATATGCTCATCTGACTATGTGGAGGTATTATCAATTTTATTATTAATTTATTACAGAAATAATTTGCATTTACTTTATAAATATATATCCACATATTTATTTCAGAAGGGAAAGGTCAAAATTAAAGGAACTACTATTAAGTATTATGTCTATAGACTGACACAAGAAGATGCTGCCATAGAAACAATGAAATGTGATTCCGATGAATTGCCAGTTGCGTCTCACTGGCTGTTACCCGCACAGGAATTTCACTGCATGTGGGAGAATCTGTATTACGATTGTGACATAAAGAATAACGTTAGTAAATTTAATAGAGTCAATTTATAAATACAACATAATTTTTATGTATCATTGCAGTTACTTGCACTGTTTCATATAATTTTTTTTATATGAAGTTCTTATCTCTAATTTTATTTCCCTTTTTTTTAGTTATTACGTTTCGTGGAGACTACAATGTTATTTTCTGATCACGCTGTTAATTCTAACATTATAAGCTGGAATAAAGTGGTATTGTTGCACGGCCCCCCAGGTACAGGCAAAACCAGTATGTGCAAAGCTCTCGCTCAAAAAGCTGTCATTCGCATGGGAGATCGCTTTACTCATGGAAAATTTATCGAGATTAATAGCCACAGCTTATTTTCGAAATGGTTCTCAGAGGTATGTATTTGACTATTCCTATCTCGCTGCAGAAGAGAGATAATAAAGTATAGGATTAGAATTTGTGGACTAGGAATAAATTCAAGAGAATTCAATTTATATATTACTTAATAACAACATTCACAGTTAGGTAACAAGATTCACGTTTCTGTTATAATAATTATTATATACTATTACATATATACTATTCAAAATTAAAGTTAGTGTTATTTTACATTTTGTTGCAGAGTGGAAAACTTGTTATGAAGTTGTTTGATGAAATAAAGAATTTGGTTCAAGACGAAAGGGCTCTGATATGCATTTTGATTGATGAGGTAGAATCGTTAGCCCATGCACGTAAATTATGCAGCAACGGTACTGAACCATCTGACTCCATACGCGTTGTGAATGCACTGCTCACGCAATTGGATCAAATCAAACGATATCCGAACGTTTTAATTTTAACGACGAGCAATATGACGGAAGCAATAGATCTTGCGTTTGTCGATCGAGCGGATATAAAGCAGTATCTTGGATATCCATCCGAAATCGCTATTTACAATATTTATCATTCGTGCCTAAAGGAATTAATGAGAGTACGTATTCTATGTCTAATCTTAATCCTATGAGACACAATAACATAAATATTTAATGTATAAATACTCATAGTGATAGCGTTACTAATGTATCTCTTAACGTTCCACTTACGAATTATCTTTGATATAAGATATATTATTACTAAATTGTATGTGTATGTATGTGTCTACTCAAGCATTCCTTAGTTAATACTACTATTAACTATTTATATTATAACTATATAACTATATATATTACTTCATGTATGTTCCAGACTGGAATTTTGGAAAATGAAGAGATACACGATATATCGCAGTTAAAGATACTTGGCTACACAGAATATGAAAACACTAAGAACAGTCTAAAATTGCTGGAACTTAGCCGCGAGAGCGAAGGCTTAACTGGTCGTACATTAAGAAAAATACCATTTTTGGCGCACGCTCTTCATACATCCACGAGCAAAACTACGCTGTCCAAATTTCTAAAAGCCATGCACACTGCTATACTGAAACAGGATCAACAAGAAGGCGATATGCAGCAGTCGTGAACAGAAAGATTGTTCTTTTCCTATTTACTTTAATACTATTTTATTATGTATATTCTATTTTATATATACATACATATAATTATGTATATATAATTTATATTTTAATATTTAATAATACATGTTTTGTCTAATTTATTTGCGTATGATTGTCGCAAAAAAAAATGCTTATTCTCTATTTGAGTCATTTATCTCGAACATATAAAGTTTAAATAATGTTTTGCATCACTCTCGAAACAAGATGCTCGTTTCAAACATAGAATTCTTTTCTACATTACATGTTGGGAAATATCAAAATCGGGAACTGTATATATAACAGTTTCCGTGAGGTCCAGTTTTGCACTGATCCCGCCTCGTCGCGCAACCGCCATTAAAATCACTGAGATGCGACCGCTATTAAAGTTACGCTTCGTTCCGCTCCGACGACGCGGACTATACTTTGCACCGGTACGCGAGTTCTTCATACAATATTTATCACAACGTGCCTGTATTTCGAACAGATTGCTGTTGTAGTCTTACTATAGTAAAATACAATGAACAACACACGTCACGGTACAATAAATAAATTTAGGGGAAAAAAATTGTTTAACGATACAGAGATTCGCAACAACAGTCGACAATCTCGCGAGGGCACTAGTGTCCTCGATAAAACATCTATATAAAACATCAGACTATACATTCAACACAAACATACACATTGTGTATCGCGTCATTAAAATAATTATAAAGTATCTCTGATTTTACACACATAATTTACAGTAAAAATATCTAAGAGAAAATATTCTAAGAAGGAATTGATGGGAGACTGGGGAAAAGAATAACAAAAGTAGAATTCATTGCTAGGGGGAGGATTTGACTACGAAGGAGGGGACTTGATATCAGTGAAGGAGACCCGTGTATTTTACACTTTACACGATGGTGGGTGGCTGCAGGACCGCCGGTGCTCTTCTGACTTTCAGCGCTTCCGGGCTCATGGCACGCGTCTGCTTTGCGATGCGGCTGTAATCGTACACGCCCTGGCCGCCGTCCAAGCTGGACTTCCCCGTGAAGGTCTTCACGTGGGACGAATTGATGGACTTTTGTTGGTTCATCGACGCGCCGTTACTATAAAGCGCATCGGCTGCGATACTGCCCTCCTCCTCCACCTTCTGCCGGTATCGTCCGCGTCGCATTCTCAGCAGCGAGTACACACTGACGGAGATCAGTAGCAACAGGAGCAACAGACCGACCGCCACGGCCGCGGCTATCACGCGCATCTCCGTAGGGTCTCTCACTATCAATTTGATGGTCGTCTTGTCCGAGCCTTGGATACTCTTCACCAATAAAGTGTACACCCGAGCATCTTCCTTTCGCAAATCCTTGATTTCCAGCTTGGCCCAGTAACAATTGGTCACCAAATTGTTCTCAAAAATGGGCTCCATCGGTAGGGCCTCGTACTTCGGATCAATGGTCTGTCCTGTTGGAAATTTGATAGGCCAAATGAAAAACAAGCGAAGCAGAGATACGATTCGTTGGCGACTTGACTCGGCTATCAAACCATTTAAATTTGAACTCTCATGCAATCGAATTACATAATTTTTAATTTCGTCTGCTTAATTACGATCAGAATTCTATTTTTCTAAAACAAATATAAATAAATGTTGCTTAACAATCAAAAAGACAGTGTTCTGTACCAGCTCGAATGTGAGAACTGCCCCATTCCCAAGCGACCATGGTTGGTGGTGGCCGCGAGCAGAATCGGGATTTGAGCCTGTGCACGGGTTCTCCGGCCCATCCAACGGATTCGTAGGAGGTCCTGTCGCCGAGCGACGGTTTGACCTGGATCTCCGGCGGTCCAGTAACGTGCAGCACGTAGCGTGCGTCACTAGTGATCTCTCGCCTGACGCCGTTGATCGTGTTGAAGGCGATGCAACGGTATTCCCCCTCGTCGGACCACATGATGTTCTTGAGGTGCAAGCGTCGACCGCCGCCCCTGTTCTGCATACGATTCTCGATCGCCTCTGTCAAGCTACCACGAAGATGCACCCATCTGTATTGAGCGGGCGGATTAGCTTCGAACTCGGTGCACTCGAAGGGGTCCTCGGTGTCGCCTAACTTGACTGTTTTCTCCATGTTCACAAATGTGTTGTTTCCGTTCATGCTCTTCACTTTCGGTCCATCTGAGGAACACGACAAATGCGCGTTTTATATCGTGTATCTGTTTATCTGTCGATTGTATGTTCGCTTTGAGACGCCGCAAATGAAATAAAAGATATTTATATATATTAAAGAATTATAAATAAATAAAAGCAATATTAACGGGAAACGTTGCAAATTGCACTACGTTATAATATCTTTGCCTGCGGAACTCCCTTTCATTTCTTTTTTACGCGAGAGAAGAGAGCCCCAAGCACTTGAGAGTTACAACTTTCACGGTAGCGCGACATATAATTGTGCATAAAAAATTTTATGTGTGACGCAATTCTACGAAGAAAGAGAGGAACCTTGTCATTCCGAGGAAAGACGTTAAGCGGTGCGTAGATCGCTTTTAGATAGTTACGAAAGGAGGCGAAAGGCAATAGGGAAAGGAAAATGGGCAAAGTATATCGGAGCGAGGTACACAATGAAATTCTACGAACATTGCACATCGAGCCTGGAACTCGCGGGTGAGCTTTCACCGACGTTGTTCGTCGCCTTGCACGAGTACAGGCCGGCGTCTTGCCTCGTGACCGGCTCGAAGCGCAATTCGGCGGCCCACATGGTGTCGTTCACCAGCGTCGTTTTGCCTTGTATCAGCGACGGCGGAGACGCGGTGTCGATTAACACGCTGAGCGGCACCGAATCTTTGAACCACTTGATGCTCGGGACCGGATTAGCGTTCGCCAGGCATTTCAGGCTAACGAAACTCACCGAATCCTCTGGAGCGGCTGTGAACGGTTGCGGACTCATGTCGAGTCTCACTTCCGGCGAATCTGAAACCGCAAAGCGCTGCTGTTACGCACGTGTTGGGTTTACTTTGTCCGGCACAAACGAGCCGCTTGTTCTCTCCTCCTTTCTCAAGTCATTGTAGATTCGTTTTACAGCAGTGAAAATGGTTTAAGAGCAACTCTCCAACACGTAAAAAATATCTATTCTTTTAAACATATTAAGGAGGTTCCAGCGTTTGATGAAATATAAGATAAGTCCATAATACACTGTACACATATTAATTATATTCACAATATCCAGAAAAAATTTCATTTATTTTTACTGTTTTGAAGATATAATTCTAAATGTATAACATTTTACATTATAAGTATATATATTAACCTTATTTATTAATCGTATTTTTTGTTAATTGAAACATTTGCATATAAGACAGAAATTTAAAAATTGTTTTACTTACAAAGTAAACATTTAAGTTCGTTTGGGTAAAGTTTCTGAATTGATCGTCTAGTTTGAAAGAAATTTATATTTGTTGATAACAAAAAAAAAAATATTTGTTAAATAGACATGTCGAATTTAACACAAACTATAAAATATGAGATATATATTTGATGCATAAGTAAAAATACGACAATGTTAATTTATACATTTTTTATTTAGATTATATTTTATTTATTATTTTTTAAGATATAATAATAAATAAATGTCATCTTAATATTTCATTTCCTGCTATTGGTACTTAGGTCAAATAAGAGTTTTATAACTTTTATTTTGTCATTTTAAAAATATTTAGTAACATAAAATTAATAATGATTATGTATAATAATATTAGTGAAATAGATATTGCTGATAATATTTTAATATTATTTTAATAGTTTACACAATTATAAGAATACTACTTATTAACTAAAGTAGCGCTGGAACCTCCTTAAATTAAAGCGATTTTCAAAGATAAATTTTTTCGAATAAGTAACAAAAAAACTAAATTTTAACTTTTTCTTTAATTTTATTTCAGAAGAGATTATTATGTTTAACAATTTTTCGACGAGTTTCTTTGATTATCATTTGATATTTAAGGACATTGATAAAATTTAATACTTATAATATTTGTTTTATTAGAGCTCTAATAGAGATCGATTTCACGTACAAGCAATGTCCAGTCGCGTCTCTGTGCTAATCGAGCCCGTTGGATGGACGGCCATACATCGAATCGGCAGACCGTGTTTCTCCCTCTCACCATGCACCCGTAAAACACTATGAGCCACCCAAGTCTTCGGTTCATCTACCTCCGTTGCGTTTGTCTGCGGCGAATAAGGTCTCACCTCGTTGTTCCCTATGTACCTGCCGGGCAAATTTTGCAAGGGTTATATCAAACGATTTAACACCTCATTTAATTTTAAGCAGATTTTACTCAGGTTTGTAATTTAATAACTAAGCATTTATAATTTAATCTCAAAGATAGTTTTAGTTCTTAGTTGAAAATCTGTAACAAACGATGATTGATATTTTCGCTTAAAAAAAGTCAATTTCAGATTAATTAAAAATTCAACAACATGGAAGATCAACCGTTAAATGTTTCATAATTTTAAGCATGGAATAAGTCTGAAATAAATTTTTCATAGTACGAGTTTTTTAATAATATATATCAATGACGTTAAAATTTTTTAAACAGAATTGGGTGAACTATCATATTTTTTATATTGAATCATAATTCAATTTCTTAAATAAATATTTTATGAGGTATCTCATATTTTCTGTTAAAATAAAAATATATCGGAATGACGGAATAAAATATAAAATATTTGAATTGAATATAAATATTTTGAAATTACAGAATTAAAATAAATATTGTTTTATAAAAAAATATTAAAATCTTTAAAAGAATTATTGCATCTTCTTTCAAAATTATGAAACTTTTATTTGAAAAATATCTTTTCCTTCCATGTATTTGGAGGTAGTATTCTCCATGCTTTTTCTTTGTCTCGTATTTCAAGTTCGATACTATGTTACAAAAACGCGTAAACGGAAGCTGGACGCCCGGCTCATGGTTAGCCCAGGCCGGTACTGTTCCATATGCAGTATCGTTTCCGCGAGTGATTCACATAAATCCATCGGATTTCCGCTAAACGGGCCGGCCTCCTTCCCGGAAAAAAAGAAGAGCGCCGCCCGAGAAGAACCCGTCCGTACCCTTTTCTAGCGTGATTCACAGGCGCGGCGGGGCTACGCTCGCGGCCAGTTTCTCGGTTTCTATGGCTATAATCTACATAATTATACTCGGCATGGGTCGTGTCCGCAACGCGAAGAAAAAGAAAACCGGGCAGGGATCATTAAACCGCGTGCGGCTATTATCGGTCGTAAAAGAATGCGCGGCCGATATTGTTTCAGACGAGAGTCCCACCGGACGAAATTCTTCATTAGTGCCGTGACCCCTAAAATAAATGCGTGGGAAAGCGAATGGTTACGGGCGGCACTCCCGAAGTACAATATTCGATCGCCGCCCGTGTCTTCCACGTAAACGTGCAAAAGTAAGAGGTCGTAACACTCCGACGTAGTAAAATAAAGAAGCTAAATTACAATCGGACCCACTTGACGCTAAAGTTTCAAGAGACGTACAAAGGAGAGGCTTGTGAGAGACTAGAACGGCTTTCAAACGTATTTACATGCATCGTTCCGAGAATGTTACACGACATGACGGCGGGGTAACGGCGAGCCGTCGCATCGGAAACTTAGCTTTTCTCAAAAGACCCATTCATCAATGGGTCCCCCTTATGAAGGGGCTACATATGCCACCGTTCAGGGCTTAAATTACACCCGCTGGGTCGTTTCCCTCTCGCTCTCTCTCCCGCTGGGAGGACGCGGGCACGTAGGCATATAAGCTTCCAAAAGAAGCGCGTGCCATCCTGGAGGAACAGATGTTTTACATCGCATAAGAACGTAGATAAGGCGCGGCTAAATTCAGCGGACCGTAAACCAAAACGACGATCCCTCCGCGCGCGCGGCCCTTCCCTGCATAAACATAACGTCACGGCTTCTTGCACCAGACCGGCTCTCTCGGATCGAGCGGGCCGCGTGTACGAACCTAACTGGTGATGTTCCACCGTGATGTTTGAAAACGGCCGTATTTTCTGCGAGGTAAGAAAACAAGTGCAGGCGTGTATAACGCAGGAATGTGCATAAAGCGCGCTACTTAGCCTCCCGACGAGGCGTCGTCGCGTCGCCAAACGCGCAATTCGAAAGCGTTATCTCGGACCTCCTAGCGATCAGTTCGATCACAAAAGGGCCATAACTAACGTTAAGGGCTATATCGGTAAATATTCGAGATTCGTTCCAGGACCAATGTCCCTGACGCCGGCCTGTCTGCTATCCTTGCGGGCAAGGTTCATAAACAAAAAATATAATTTTTTGCGGATGCATTATTCTCGAAAAAGATAAATACTCCTTGTATAATTTCTCCGAGAATTTATAAATTTTTCAATTCCGAAGAATAAATTTAGCAGTTTGGTTTGTTTAGTATGGATTATGAAAATAGTTTAACAATAAGATATACAGGGAGAAGATTCGCATTTAGAGAAAATATTTGTTTTAAGGATGTTTTTGTCCTCCTTTTTTTCCTCGTTGTGTTTACTCAAGAGTTTACCCATAAAAATAAATTATATTCGATACTTTTTCAACCGACCGTTACTGAGATTTCGTCCCATCGGCAGGCATGGTCAGCATTCCGATAGTCATCCGTTTGTGCCCAAAAGTAAAAAAAAAATATTTAACTCCTAATCGTCCTGTCTCAGGTAAAAGGTCGCCTGAGACAAATGGATCCATTCGTAATTATCTGCTATAAAGCTTTCAACGTTTCGTTTTTTCTATCATTCCTTTCTGTCGGCGTCACTGCTAGAACACTTCTTGATGAGAAATTATCGCGTGTACAATTTTTCTTCATTATCAACGTAAGTGCGTAACAATGAGTGTAAAGTGAAACGTTAATGTTTTGTTTGGATGTTCATCTCTATGTCACATCGTGTTAAAAATCTTATTGAAATCGATATAAAAAATTCCGGTTGACTCTTTGTCGACATATATTCCAGTTTTCAAATTCTTTAAAATTTTAAAAATTTTAAATTATCTCTTTTTCTTATATATTTTGTTTTCATGTAGTAGTACAATTTCACTACGACGCAATACATAATATTCAAATATTTAAGGACATAGTGTCAGCTTACCACTTGATGACGGCGGGCGGATTTCCGTATTTCGAATCGCAGGAAATCGCTGCAAACTGCCCCTCCTCCAGCGATAGGGTAGCGCCCAGAACGGCCCCGTCCTTTTTCAGCTGAGGCTCTTTAGGTTGCACTGGAACACGAATTAGGGTACATTTTAGATAAGCTAAAGCGAGACAAAAACTGTTGTGTTGTTTGGGGTTTGGTGTCCCCCGCCCCCCCGTTCTGTTCCCTTTTCGATTGGACGGATGTTATGACCGTGATCTTATCGTTACGTGCTCTTGCAGGGAACAGTTAAAAAGAACTGATTGTGCCACTCTCGACTAAATTTCCATTAACATGGATATTGCAAAATTACAGGAAAGTAGAGCATAACGGCTGCTTTGTGTGTTTTCTTGCATCACTCGAGGTCAATGTTCGCGGAATATTAATGTTTCTTCCGAACGATTCAACGCGCTTCAACGAAATATTCGAGATTGCACTGGACATGTCAATATATTGCGTATAATGACATTAAAATATAAAAGTGCATTTATCGTGCACAAGCAGAGTGCTAAGTATAATATGTATAATTTTATTTGTGTTGTCTTTGTGTTTTTATTTAATTTTAAATATAATATCTACGCGAATATAGATTATATATGTAGTTATTTTATATATTATTAATTATACAATGTTTGTATTAGGAATAATATGTTGTAATAGGAATAGTATGCTGCAATAATATACAATATATATACTTAAATTCTCATCATAGATATTATTTAGTAAATAAGTTAAAGTATTACGGACTCCGACTGTGAAATGTTATAACAATTGAGCTTGCGCCATTTTTCATATAAACATTTTGTTTGGTTTTCAGAATTTTCTTTTTCTAAAATCACAATATTCAAAATTTCTTTTACTTGACAATATACGAAAATGTCAACACGGTCAAAGCAGTTCTTGATGCCTGAAAATTTTATAATATGTAAATCTTACAATTTTTCTGCCGCGCCGCAAATCGTCGGACTTTATTATTTAGAATATAAAGTAATATATTTATTATTTATAGAATAATATATACATATTTTTTTTACTCCTTGTTTACTAGTATGAAAAATACACAAGTCATAAACATATTTACTCTTTCCTTGTTTACTAATATGAAAATACGCAAGCCATAAACATATTTACTCCTTCCTTGTTTATTAGTATGAAAAATACGCAAGCAAACTTATATAAACTTATATATATATAAACTTAAAAGTATAACGTCCCACCGAAAGTCAAATCGGATTCTCACCCACTACAAGAAGTCTGGACGGTTCGGATGAGAGCGCGTCCTGGCGGGTGAAGCCACTGGAGGTGACCTGACACTCCCAGAAGCCGTCGTCGAAAGTTAGATTGGCCTGTCTTATTATAAGGGAGCAATCACCGCTGCCGCGGTTGTTCGCCCACTCGTACTTTTTCGGCTCTATAGCCACCGGCCTTCGGTCCTTCTGCCAGATGCACTGGCCGCTCTTGTTTTGCACGATGCAGTTCAGTTTCACGTCATGATCGGACAGCACTTCCTGGTAGGGCTGCGGTTTTTCGAGAAATCGTTGCTCGCCGAAGACGTAGGCGCGAAAAACGCAGGCCACGAGAAGGAGCACCGGCAAACGGAACGAGCGAACGGACGTCATCTTTGCGGGACTAGGAAACTCGCGAGTGACCTCGATCAAGGGTATCTTCGTTGACTGTCAGGCGTAAGATTCGTCCGAGAGTGGCCGCCTTTCGAAGGTGTTAATCGCGCCGATCGAGAGACGCACGGATTTGGAGAACGCTCAGGGATTTACGGCGTGAGCAGACTGACAATCTCCGACGGCTTACAAATCGGGGCATGTCAAGATGCACGAGGTCGAATATTTCTGGGGATTAGATTCGAATGTTTGTGGGGATTAGATTCGAGTGATTGTGGGAATTCTGTAGGGGGAACGTGCGGACTCTTGAGGCTCCGGTGATTTCCCATCGGTTTGTGTCCTTCGGAGAAAATAAATTGCGCGAGCGGCAACACGTGAATGGACACGTGCGCGATGGCGAAGACCGAGCACAATTCGCGAGGCGCGATATAGATCCGTAAACACACCCGCGCTATACATTCGCCAAGTCATAGATCCGGCTCGCAGATAAACGCACCATTCTCTGCCGCGGATTTCGCCATCGACGATCGATCGGGGCAAATCACTCGTAATCACGGAACGTTCACTCGCGAGTCTGCCGTTCGGAAATCCGTTGAAGCGGCGCGAGCACGCCCGAGGCTCGCGTTTTATTACCGCGCCTAATAGCGCGAAAGTCCGCGGGGCGATCGAAATGATCCCGAGTGCTTTCACCAGAACTATCGCCTCGCCTCGCTACGTCCGCGCGGCGTAAACAATGTATTAGCGGAAAGAATACGAATCTTTTATAAAACACTTCTTTAACGTTTTCGTTTAATAAACCGGCACGATTTTTTTTTTCAATGATTAAGAACTTTGTTGCCGATTCGCACTGCGTCGCACAACATCGCCCGACGATTGATTTTCGCGCGGTTCACAAAATGTATAATCTCTTTGTTAGATATGATTTACATTAATTTAAGTTGTCTTTGCTTCGACAAAGTCCGCGAGTTTCTGTCACTGACGTAGCCGACGGCGATCATAGCCACGTGAAAGCGCGCACGGTCTACTCGGTGGCGGTAAACACCGACTGAATGAGCCGCCTTCGAGTTTGAAGGGTCGAAATATATCCACGCAAACCGATGCAGCGCTCTCGTTGGTCCGCTCGGCGAACTACCACCCACTCCCGAGTCCTTTTTCTCTGTAGTTCGCTTGTTATTATTTAATGTTCTCCATCAATCGTCTTCTGAGAAATTTCTGTCACTCATGAACAACGTTTAACCTGATTTATCAATAAACTATCTGAATTGTCGAATGATTGTTTCCAAAATTACGCGAAAGTTTTCAACTTAGAAATATTTTTCATTCTCTCTCTCTTTCTCTCGCTTCTTTGATCCGTCAATTTTTTCGTCTTACTAGTGTTATATATATTTTAAGCTTCTTTTTCATTTTTTCTTCATTTTTAATGCATATTACTTTGCGTTTTATTGTTAATTTTGTTTACATATTTCTACTGTTGTTTTGTAGTATATTTCTTCACGGAAAGAATGATTTTGTTGAAAGGTCTAAAAATTTTGCTAAAAACAGATTTGAAAATAATTTTTTGTTGAATCATCAAAATAATTTGTTGGAATGTTAAAACTAATAAGTATTGCTATAAAACGTTTTTGAAATTCTAGCAATTATTCTGACTTTCGCACAAAATTATTTTGATAATTGAACAAAAATTATTTTTAGATCTGGATTCAGCAAAATTGTTCTTTCCGTGTTTGTGCTCTATCGTTAATTAAATTTTCTTATTCGCGTTTTATGTTTTTTACTTTTTTTGTTATTTTTCGATTTTTAGTTTGTTCTTAGAGGACTCGCCCTAGAAAATAATAAACGCTAAATCAATCAATCAACCAATCTCTCTCTCTCGTTTTCTCTCTTTCATGAAGTAAATTCATGTAAAAAATATTAAATATTTTTCCTAATCGAATAAAAATACAGTACAATTGACGTAAATATTAAATAAATTTTTTACTGTCGCGGTCGTAAAAGATCATGGGATACAACTGCAATTCTTGCGCTATTGTACCACGTGACACAAGCGGCGGCGCAAGTTTGTACGCAACGGGAGAAAGTTGCGGAGACAATGCGGCTGTATTATAAAAATCCGTTCTTGGCCGCAAATATCTCGTGGCTGTCGATCGCTTCGCTGAAAGAAGGAATTCGAACCGAAAGGGGGCTCATGTCCGAGAAGTAGCGCGACGCCGACGATGGAGTACGCGGCGCGGAAAGAAAGTGCGCGGCGGTAAATAGAGTGAGCGTTCAGGACGCGGAACGCGCTGCAAGATAATGCGAAATTAACCCGTTAAACATTATTTTTTTTTTTACTCGGTAGTAATTTATGCATTTCGCATTAAGACCGACTAACGTAAAAATAAGACCGTTACGTCAAAAAGCCTGACGATTATTCAGAGTCAACTTGTTAAAGACCGTGTTACGTCCGGTGAACTTCACGATTTCTTCGTTTTGTGAACACGTAATAGAATAAACTCTTAGAGTAAAACAAATATTAATGATCATCGATTGGTGAATAAACAGGGAATCGATGACATTTCTGTCATTAATTATCTCAGCAAATTTCTGATCAAACGTGAGACACCTCCTTAACTTGATTTCGAAAACAGTTGAATCATCATCTTTATTCGAACGTGGTAATCCGCGGGAATAACTTGATTCCGAAACGAAACCTAAAAAATTTTTATATATTGTTGTTTAAAAGATTAAATTATAAAATGATAGTTAAAAAATTTTAATTAATTAGAATTCAAATCAAAAACTCAAATTTTATAGAGGGAAATTGATGATTATAAGCACTATTCAAACAGATTTGCGACAGAATCAATACAACCTCCGGTTGGAAGCAGTCGGTCATAAAAAAGTATACTCATTATCAGTTTTCAACCGCTAGATTTTATCATTTTCTAGCCGCTAAGCCTTAAGATGGACTGAGGATTTCTCACGTTCGATTGATAGAGGTAAATCACCAAGGAATAAGAAATACAAACGAACAAAGGTGATTTTTGGGGAATTAAGTTGCTCCTGTAGGATCAATCAAAATCAAAGATGATCAATTAAATAAAATCGTAATTGAAAGGATATGTCTCATCAATACTAAGGTAAAAAATCTAAAAATAGGTGAATCCTCTAAAATGGTTGGTCAATGAACAAAAATGATTGTAAGATGGCGGAGTGATCTCGAATCAAATATTCTAATCAAATTCATTTTTTTTCGAATTGCCACATCCCATATCCTGAATATAAACCGCGAGATCACGGAACTCAAAAACACAGTCTAAGTAGTCTAACACAAACTCCTGCAATCGGCATTTTGTGCACCTGTACACCGCTAATTTAGCAAAGTTAGAGCCAGTGCGCGATTAAAATCAAAGTTTGAGACTCACGATTTCACCAAAAGCCAATCTTGGGTACACACTATCGAGCAATTCGAGACCCGAACAGCCACCAATAACCAATAAGTCTTAAAATTAATTTTCTTCACGTTCGATCCTTTGCGACAAATTTTTAAATTTAATCTACTGGGCAGTGAACAACTGAGCGTCCACGACATCGGGAATCCTCACTCAAATTAGGCGGGCCCGACAAACAGTCCGGAGAACAGCGCGGATTTTACTCGACGAAGCCTTCGCGGAGTGGCGCAACGCCCTGCGAGACGCGGAACACGCGGGATTAATTCCCGCAAACCAAAATCTTTTTCCTCAATCTTCCCTTGAACAGGAAGCACCACACCCCGAGGAATGTCCTCCACCTCCCTCTCTTTCGTCTTCTGTTTTAACGCAGAGGATATTCCTCGACACTCCTCCCCCCTCCTTCGCATCCGAATTCCCCGCACGATGACCGCCCTTCTCCTGCATCTTCCCTTTACGATTTCCAAGACATAAAAATATCCCAGACTTAGAAAATCCTTCGTCCCTCACGTTCTCCCTTTATGAATCAGATGTAGAAATATCAAATCCTCAGTCCTCTGCGTCCTCTTTTTTTCTCTTTTAGAAATAGCCATGCATTCTGTACGAGTAATGAGGAATTGTAAAAGTAAGATTGTCCGAGCCGTAAGTTAACAATCGATTATAATAGCGTACGTATTGAATTACGCCTTCTATGAGTTCTATGTACATACAAGTAGCCTAATTGCTAGCTTTTGCGAGCGTGAGTGTGAAATAATAACACAGTAAAAGTAAAATGAAAATCATGTGTGATGTTATTTAGTGCATATACTGACATTCCCTGACCACCATATGGTCACGATAGTTGTTAATGAGTTCAGCCTGTCGCGAAAAAATTTATGTGGGCAGTGAAAAAATATATCGTGTCGTACATAAACGCAGGGGGCCAAATTTGTGGCGGTTTATAATTGGCGGTCGCGAGGCTACGGGCGTTATATGCACCTGCAATAAATTTTTTTAACGCGATAGAGCTCGCCGTGTATGTACGTTCTACGAGTAGTGTACTTCTCGACTCGGTTCCACATCGCGCGTCATAGCGACCGGACTGGAAACGGAAGACGGACCCCGAACGCGCGCGGGCTCACGCGTGCGTATCCAACCCTGTATCCTCTCCGGGCGCTATCCTTATTATTCGAGCGTGTTATCGGACTGCCACCGCGTGGTCATGCGCCCGCGTTTCGTGTGAGGCTTACGCTTTGTTCGATCACGCGTTATTACGCTTTTCGCGCAAATGACTCCCTCGCTTTTACCTTTGAACCCGTGGGGGCGATTGCCGGAAGGGTTTGGAGTGGACAAGCAAATAATTTGAAAGTTGAAGAGAAGTGCTAAACACTGAAGCACGCTGATAAACATAGTTTAGCCTTAATTTTTAATTTTATTCTTAACGTATCTAGTCATCTATCAACTGTAGATCTATAAAAAAAATTCAAACTTTTAAGAATCCAAATTTTACGAATCAGATGGAAAATGATTCTATAATATGATTGTCTGCCCTTGTCTAACGTTATCCCTTTCGTAAGCATATTCGAGTGCAGGAAAAGATCACAGTGTCCTCTGCCATAACATCGAGAAACTAACTTCACTTTCCTTCATTTTATTATTTAAGGTGGTTTTATGAGTTTTATCGCTCAACGCCAACTCGATAGTGTAACGTTGTCACATAAACGTCACACAATCGTATATGTACAGTCTATGCTAAATGTTTTTATTGAATTATTAGTCATGTAGAAAGACTAACTTTTGACTGGGACTCGCTAATGATAAAACCACCTTAATGTGCAAATTCTATTATTTTTATGTTTTAGATTTTTTTCTAGATGATTATGATTTAATTAATATACCCATTTATTTTTTATGTTATTCGTATGGAAATATTATTTCAATTGTTTTATATTACCTTCAGATAACAACATATCATTAATCAATATTTCTTATATATCGACAGACGGTATTCAACATATTATCATGGACCGAGTCATTGGCTTGATGTTTCCATCAAATTACGATCTTTTGTATTAATTTTCATTATAATTTTTTAAATATTTCATTCTTTTGCCATAAAAAATTATTTTTAAATAAAATTTTCAAATATTTAGAAAAATAAAAAATATTTTATTGCGTATATTCTTCGGAATTTAATTTCTCTGTAAAAAATTTCAACAGTATATAAATGTCGGTACGAGTGTATAAGTGGCTTAGACTTTTCAGATGATGACATTTCCTTTTAAAGGCGCAAAGTAGCTTGTGTTCCTGCGGACGAGTCCGGTATAATAGACAAAAGGATTACACTGGAAAGTGACGTTTTTGTGAGTTCTATATCGTTGTAATAAATACAAAATGTATTTCGTTTTATCGACATAGTTAAGGAAAAAGGAATGAAATATGATGGTATCGACTTAGAAATAAGTGCGCACATAGCATGACAAAACGCCAAAAATATTTCAGGATGAGAATTTTATTTATAATTCCATATGCCGTGTATTTTGCGCGTGTACATTTCGATATAAAATAACACCGTTCAACAATAACACGTTCGTGTTTATAATGGTGATAAATGGAAGATGAGCAACAATTGGAATAAGA